AGAATGCTTGTTTGCCAACTTAACTGTTAAATAATCCAGGCAAGCCATTTAAGCTTCTCCATCTTCGCTACAATAATGATATTATAGTTTACTTACCATTTAAGATTTATTTCGAACTAGTTAGTGATATTGAAACAGGTATAATTTGCATTCCTGTATTTGTTAATTAATGTGGCTAGTGATCCTCTAGGCAGCTTTGTAAAGAGTCCATAAACGAAGGGTAATTGATTTATATATATATATATATATATATATATATATTTCTTAACATACCTGCCATTTGAGGCATTTTTTTTCCTCCGAGCCTTTTTCCTAAACTAGGTTGGGGTCGCCTTTAAGTCTACTACTTCAAAATTCGCTACAAGGGTCATGGTATAGAAAGTCTATACAACAGTAGTTTAACATTTAGGTACTGTTTAGTTGAATAAAAAAGAAAATACAAAACTTTATTTCTTAATAAATTGTGGGTGAAATTTGGTCACCAGTACCTACACGATTTCTAGTAGGTTTCATATGCAAATATATGAAAAACAAATTACTAATTAAACAATTATCTACCATTCTTATAACACATTAGGCGCCATACTGCCTTGATAGTACTTTTTGGTTCAAAATGGCTTCTAATGAAATCTTATACCTACATCCAAATCGTTTACACATACAAAAATACACTCTTTTTAGCACAGACAAGCAATCGTGTACAACAAAAAAAAAAACAAAATAACATATATTTTTTTAACTATTAGTTACTAATAAAAACGGACCTGTTGGTACAGTGGCCCTGTTGGTGCCTTGACTGTTAAGCCGAAGGTCTTGGATTCGATTATCACCCAGGAAAAATAATTGTGTGATGAGTACGACTATTTGTTCTGTGTTTGTGTGTAATCTAAAATATATCTGTATTTAGAAACATTTTAGTAGATATGTTTATCAGCAGTCTAATTACCATAGCACAGGCTCTGCCTAGTTCGGGATCAGACTGCAGTGTTTGAGATGTGTACAGTTATTATTACTATTGTTTGTGTTTCTGAAAGCACACACTAGATAACCTTCTGCCTTCTGAATTAAAGTCCTATTCATCATATGATCATAGTATTCCTTCTGCGGTATATATTTTTATTTTAGTAGACATAGTAGTTCTATCAGTTTTTATAAATGCAAATAATAATCTAACGCAACCTAAGCGACGGATAAAAGCTCGTTTTTCGTATATGAAACAGTTTATTAAAATCCAATAAGCTAATCCTCAAAAAAAAAAATTCGTCTACCCATGTTTAGTACAAATCGTTGACTACCTGCATATTCCTATGCAGTTGTTCTGGTCTTAATACTTATCAGGCTCTAACATATTCCCTTTAAAAATATGATAAAATAGATAAGATAAGCTACATGTTTTATTTTAATTCTTAAAAAAAAACTTCCTATATACTTATATTATAGTTTGTAAAGATTAAAATGTAATTAGGTTAAGAATGACAACCTTAAAAATTACTTTTTTCTACGTCTTGTTTCGACGCGGTACTACCATTGAGCTCCTGATAACTGTGATATCTTAGTGGGTGATAGATTAATAATCTTACGAGTGATTACTCGTAATATTGTTAATTTATATTGATATAAAATATGTTTTGTAAGTTATGTTTGTCTTATGTGAGTACTTACATAAGTCAAGTCAAAATAAAATGACTCTTTCAAAACATATATTTTATATCCATCTTCCATTAAAGGTATTATTCATGATTATTTGTAATTCGTTGATTGAAAACTCATTAGCTCGTAATTATTTTGTAATGTGTCATTAGGTATGCTACGTAACTATCTATCTACCTTTTAAATCTTTGTACATTTTCCTCTTATTTTAATCCTTATACCTAATATGCTATCATGATGACGCTAGCGTCGTAAGACACTGACGATCCCATAATATCATTTATGCCTGTCTATCTAAATACATCGATGCTACCTCAAGACGATTCCAATCAATGACTGGTAAACTGGGAACAACTGATTCAGTGGTAATATCTAAGTGACCCTTAGCAGTCTAGAATTTGTAATGTTGCCAGGATGATCAACTTTCATTTACAGTTAAGTTTAACATAGCTCTGACTGCTATTCTTTATTTCTTAAATATTATACTTGTTCTTAAAATGTTATGAAAGGCGCTTTAAAAGTACAAGCAGTTGAATTAATATGTAAGCAAGTCTGCTTGCATTTACCCCCCTACGGCCCTTTATCGGATACTATAGAATGGGGTAAGAAGTTTCTAAAAATGCACATGTGTTACACAAAATTTTATAAGTATTGTTATGTACTCATAATGGATTTAATGTGTGAATTAATCTAATACTATAAATCACATACTTTTTCTGCGACCACATGGCCCTTTGAGCCATTGATTGTTGCGTTATGTATTGTTAGCCGCAATTTATTTCCTTAAAAATACAACTCCTGCACTAGGAATATATTCTGTATCGCGGGGGACTTTATAAGCATTTAAGATACAGACAAAAAGAACACCCATACTCAGAACAACAATGTGTGGATCACACAAAGTGTTGTCCCAAATGGGGATCGAACTCAGAACACAAAGCGCAGTAGCAAGCGGCGAGGTGACCACTTAATTCATTACGCCATACGTGCAGTCAGTGCATTGTGGTAGGAAGACTTAATATTAGTAATAAGTTTATATTTCGAATCATATTTATGAAGTGTTACGAGGGTTTAAGGACTTCAATGTGACCCAGCGCTGGGAGGGGAATGTGTGCTTACCGACCTAAACATTGAGTATTGTGGAAACTTAACTGTAATCAAATTGCCGAAGCTCCACTTAAAATCAATCAGCTGCGGTAGCGTAATGAACGACTTGCGATCAAGAGGTTGGGGGTTCGAACCCCATCGAGTATACTGCCGATGTGAACCCACATTATTGTCTTTATAGTAAAACTCACATATCTGTAGGTACGTATAAAATTACTTGCCATGGTTGACAAACTTATTCTAAAGCGCTGGGGCTACAAACTTCAAATTTTGGAAGTTGATGCTTTTTATGTTGTAAACAACGTAAAGGATTTTTGGAAATTGCATCTCTAAGGAGGTAAAATAAGGGATGAAAGGTTGTATGGACGTTCGTCATTTTCAAAGTTAGAAACACGAAATAAGCATTAGATAGTAATGTATACTTTAGAAAACAAAAATACTTACATTTTAAATAATAAACTGATGCATGAAACCTTATTCCTATTACACGTCTATCAACATCTTTACACTTTTCCACATAGCTATTTGTATGAAAGTTTATAGGTAGGTACCTACGTATTAGTTCTTTTTCGACAAGCGTACAAACGTACTTTCAAACAAAATAGTTATCTTCAATATATAAAAATCGAATTGCTGCTGACAGATGTGAATCAGTACTCAGTGTAAACATTCCTAAGTGACCTAAGCAGACGAATACTGTGATTCACCCATCAGCCAAAAATAACAATCTCTATTCCAACTTAATTTCAATATTATAAATATTCAAATGTCTATACGTCTTAACTAATCATTAAATCATCTTCAACAAATTTTGGGAGGGATATACCTAAAAAGATTTAATGAGAAGATGTAGGTACATTAACACAGGCGATGTAATAGCTAGTAACACTATAAATGTGAAAATTTGTCTATGACTCAATCATGCTTAAAGTGCTAAACGAGTTTGAATATAATTTGGCAAATACTTAGATGAAGGTTCATAAATCGCTCCATAATACAATAATACTTATATTTGGAATTTAACTCAATTAAAAAAAAGAGTATACCTAAAGAATAAAAGATAAATTTTATCTGTCGCAAATAAAGGCAACAAAAAAATAATACCATTCATAAATGTGTGGCTCGAAAGCATAGTTACAAGGTAAAGTTAATAATCAAATGTACAAAAAGCATACAACAGTAACTAACAAACCAATTATAATCACTGCCATACCCTACTAGTTTCGTTAATTAAAAAAAATATCCACCCTCGAAGATCGAAAGCAAATGACATGAACAAAATAGTAGGTTGTGTTGAGTCGAATGGTCGATCCGATGACTGGCAGAATCGACTAAATTGCTTCTATCACATTAATATTGGATCCCAAGGCGGGTTACCTCAGTCACACGTATAGCTTATATTTAATTTAAAATACACAAAGCGATTGACATGGCTCCCGGCCTCCGCTCTTTCATAACGACCTCTCGTCAATTTGTTTCAGACATTAAAATAGATCGTCATCAATGAACCTGGTTACCGACACGTCTAACCTTTGCGTTTGTATGTGTGCAACAATGATTCTCATCAACTATTTAAGGCCTCGTTGCAATAGCTTTGAAATTAAAGCAGTAGCTTGTTTAGTATTGGAGTTTGCTAAGTAAGTATGAGATGCTGGCACAATATTTGACAAGTGAAACTAGTAGCTATACCTACCTATCTGTAGAAATATAAATGATGAAATAAGTAGAGCTTAAAGAAAACATTACAATTTTATCTTTTCAGATTTATATTAAGCTTTGATAAAAAAAAATACCTACTACTCATATAGATATATCTACTCTAGCTAGAAGGCACATATATTATTTAAGTACAGTCATTAAAAGAAACCGGTAGAGATCTTGAATTGTTGTTCACTCATTAAGCCTACTTCGACGTCATTAGTCAACTGTATCAAATACATTATGATACGATTTACATATTTTTAATTCACAACATAACGAATACAAAGATTACCTAGATGATTGCAAATTTTGTATCAAAATTGTAAGATTTACACAAGTGCAATGTAGTGTTGGGTTGGTCTCCTCAATGCTTTGACTTCAATTGCTCCCAGATTAGTCCTAAGTTATTTTACCTAGAACTTATCTGGGACCAATTAAAATAGTCGTTTAATAATTATCGAATACAAACAAAAAGTTATGACGTGCAAGTTCAATTAGTGGCGGTGGTGTGGGAGGCTTCGCGGGGCGCACGTCGCCGCCATCTAGCGGGCGTCAGCGCCGCCCACCGGCCGGCGGCCGCCTCGTGCCGTCAGCTTACTCGCGATCACATGTCGCTTATGAATATGAGGCGTTATGATTATGAAAATATGCCCCGCCCCGAATATGGAATATGGAGGAGGGGAGCCCGTGTAGCGCGTGCGAATGGGCGAAGTTTGATTTATGAGCCGGGCGCGGCCCCGCCCCCTGTCATAACCGTATACCTGGTGCGCGCGCGCGCTGCCGCCCGCCGCCCGCCACCGCCGAGCGCTCAGTCCCGCTTCAGATGGCGAGTGGTGCGCTCGGTCACACGCCGTGTCCGCTCCGCACTGTGTACTTCGTCCGAGCCGAGTAGCGGCGCCGCGCGCGAGTGTACCGCCGACAGTACGTACGGTGTGAACGAGCCAGGCCGAGTGCCCTCGACGCAGCCCCTGCCATGCGCCGGCTTTGAGCGCCAGCCAGCGCGACAACATGCCGCGCGTCAAGCCTTCCTGCGTCCGCCGCGTCTCCATCGGTACTTAACTGTCCTCTCCGACATCCATCCATCACAGCACATCACACATGACGCTACCACACCGCGACCTATGGAACAGTGACGATATCTTGAGGAGGAATACTGTGTTACTATCGATACGTTTCCGTTGACACCACGATTTATTCGTACCGATAAAATGATTTCGTTAGCGACGATTAAATTTGGCATACACCAGAAAGTGAGCACTAAAATCCTTCACCAACGGGGTGAGTAAACAGTGCAGTGAATTTTCACATCTGACATATTTTTAATACCTAAAAGGAAATATGTAATTGTGGAGGTATGTAAACTCCGACATATTTATTCAAGAAATAGTGGTAGTGAACTTTTAAATGCCTAGAAGCATATAGTTTTTGAGAGTGTCTTAGTAGAAATTTGCAATAAGTAATAGACAGACAGGTTGAAAACAAGTACAACTTCATTTCTGTAAGTTCTATAATGATTGAAGACTTAGCTGTCTCTACACTATACACTGCTACATGTCTCAGTCAGTGCAATGAAAGAAAAAAAAATGAATCTCTACATCACTCCGTTTATCACAACATAAAAATAAAAATCTAAAAGCAACGTACATTTTAGAAGTATAGTATAGGCAATTCTTTTAAATTATAGGCTACCGTGTCTGATTTGATGATTACCTACGACTATTAATAAAGTTAGACAAATACCATTCAAAGTCTATTTATAAAATAATTTATGAAGTAATGTTTCTATTCACATAATGTTATTTTAAGTGACAGATTTATTGGAGCTATTCTGTAATAATGTTTACTGAGTGTCTATGGGTAATTAATTTTTTGACTATGACAGATTGTTGGGTCATAAATATCACAAGTCCGAAACGAAAACTGTTAAATTCTGTAAACACTAAATAAATAAAATTAGCATCGCTTTTAGCGACGCGCGACGGCCGCACAATATGCTATGTTTTGGACCATTCATATTTAATTATGTACTTTTAAAACAAATTCATTAAATCAATATCTAAGTATGACACATGATATATAGATAATATTTTATAACCGTAAGCGTAATAGGTGATATTTTTAGATTTTATAATAAACTGCATTTGTTTCTAATATTGACAAGACAACTAAATTGTGTTATTTATATTATTGAAATAAATAATGGCCTAAAAAAATAACATTTCGTTCAAGTTGTTTTTCTATCGATTAAAATTCAATTTAGGAGCTAGGATTTGAAATTAATTTATCAATAGGTGCTTATAGACAATAATAATATATTAAAAAAGTCAATGAAACGTGATTCCTCGCAGGCTCATTAATTAATGTTCACTATTTGACTAATAAAGACGTAAGGAATATAAGCAAGTTTGTCTAAATCTAAATTAACATTGAAGCGTAGTGGCTCGCGGCGCTAATAGCCCCTTATTTTTATGGTTTCACAGATCATCATTATCTAGAACATGGCTTTGTATAACTTTATATAACCATTTTTACTTATAGCTGTTTAGTATACCGAACACATAACACGGGCAATGTAGCAATCGTTTTAAATTATGATCAGTTAAAATTTTACACCTAATGCATTCAAGTAGGTACGTACTATTCATTGTCACGTAGGTACCTATACTTGAAGTATTTAGATATGCTGTACATCACTTGACCTAATATTGATCCTTAAAAGTATCGTAAATGTACTTACATGTCTGTTATTAGGTACCTACTTATGTAATACGTAAAAATCAATGTTTGTTTTATTCTTATTATACACATGCGTTGGGTACCTATGCCCATACCCGGGATATAGAGAAAGGGTAGGGTGGACTTTTCATTTGGGAATAAATAATCCGGTACGCAACCGAAGCAAGTAAAAGCTAGATTAGTACCTACCTATATTTTTTTCTTAAATGTAGTAATATCCACTGATCTTTAAGCTGAAAATAATTTCTTAAATACGAAGGTAGGTATGTAGGTAGATAGGTACTCTATTTTTTTAGCTCTGGTGACAATATTGTTAGTTAAAAATTATGATTTCCTTGTCTTTTAACTAAGTGGGCTAAATACTATAGTTATGAATATTTAGCGAAAAAAAAATTAAATTGTTAATACATAGGTTAATTATAGCTACAAAATGATATTTATTAATTTGTTTGTATGAAATCGTGTTTTTAGGTATATTTTATTAAACTCTATCTACTTTATGATAACATTAACAACCTCAATGAAAAAAAATTAAGATGATGAAATATTCAGTGACTATAATATGGCTAATAATAATAAACATTTAGGGCTTTGAAATTAACAAGTCTTAGAACTTGACACAACATTCTTAACCCTACACGAAAAAGTCGCCTGGCCCTTTAAAACGTGTACTAGTTAATAAAGAATGACTATTGGTTTCAAACCAAAAAAAAAAACTAAATTAGATTTTATTAACACATAATGCATATGAAACTAATCCACCAGGAAACTAATAATTTCATGATATGTACCCCTTTATAGTTATACTAAATTATTATTATCTATGTAATTTAATACACAGTGGTAGAGCAAAGAAATGGTTTCAACGAAACGGTAATTTTGGAACTTGAAATAATAGTTTGTTGTAATTCGGGAGTTTAAGAAATGACATGCTCTGATTTTATGCACCCAGTTTCACGCTTTTATTTCCACAACTTTGGTAATGCTTTGATACTATTTAAATCGACCATCACTAATTAAAGCAATGTCTTTATATGAATGGCACGTTGTCAAACTTAGTCATAGGGACCGCCATAGCGCCTACTTCGCTTTTATCTTATTACCAGTTTTACGATTCATCTATAAAATATATTTATAATACACATTTTTGTTAACGATTGTAATAACCTATTCATATCTTATGAAATACGCTTGTTCTCTATTTGTTTGCTCGACTAATAAATTAAAAAAGGTTGTTAAATATATATCTAAGCCGGTTCTAATTCGAACTAAAATGAAAAATCGATATGCATATCGGCGTTCATTTACCTTGAATGATGAATAATAATGGTTTGTCGATGTATAAATTATAGACTTTCTGTCAACAGATTAATGAACATCGCTGCTAACTATAATTCTAAATATTTTAATGGTGTTTAACACTAACACTAACGACGCCTACTCGCAAACATATTAAGTACTTACATAATAATCAAATACAGATCCCAGAATTTTAACTACGTCGGCCCACTTTTATAATTTTACTTTGTCCAAACGTTGGACAATAGTGAGCAACAAATTTTCGCTAGCTGAAACCTTTTGATAATTTCTGCGTAATGCAGGCAGGCGGCGGGTGGCGTGCGGTGTACGGCGAGCGTTACCGCAACCCGTCATGCTCTTTGAAATGACCGCGACCTGCTACCGAGCTCCACTGTCAAATACCAACAAACAGACACCACTAATCCGGCTCCTTACAGATAGCTATTAAACGCACCGCCATCTCGCTACAAATGAGTTATTTAATCCTCAGCCGCAACATTATCCCGGATTATATCAATGTTTTGTGTCGGTGCTCACTTTAGCGTCCGCTTTTCAAAACATCACCAAAAATCTGACAAAAAAATGTATTATGAACAGTTTGCGGCTGTATTCAAAATTCGGCTTTTAAAATCGACACCAAAGTTATGAAGACAGGTAAATCGTAAATCTATAAAATATATATTACATATTCAAAATATTAAAACGGTGAAAGTATAAAGTGGCTGATAAGCAAATGCCTGCACCGAAATATATTCGAAATCTTTCATTTCATAACATGTCTAGTAGGGCCGGTAAGAGTTGAATCGGTTCGGGTTTTTGGAAACTCGATAAATTAACATGCAGGGAGCTACTTATATTCGAGTACATTCCTTATATTTTTATTGATATATATTTTGTCAACGCACAACACCTGTGTGCCTACTTAATAATGTTTTAAACTGGATTTTACTTCCGTAAGAACTTGCCAATGAGTTATGATTTAGATAAGACTTTGTTTGATAGTAATTATCAACTAATTATTATTAGTCTTTATTAATGCACGCGAGAAAGGTTGCAGTGCGATTACAACCTTATCGCGTCCATTTATATCATATCCATTAGTGGCGAAAACATTTTTGTACCTCATCCTGGCCCTGCTTAAAATGGGTAACTTATGAAAATAAGAATTTGTATATTGTAACTATATCATAATTAATTTGATTAAAAAAGCTGTATAAATTCCCATAGCCATATACGAGTAGGTATATGGACTTAATTAAAAGAGTTGATTTTTATTTCTCAAATTAGGTGTCATATCCTACAATGACAGTTAAGAAAAACGCATGTTAGCAACTTCCTTGTTACTAAATAGTTATATTATTTAACAATTGCGCTTTTGAAATGAATAATTACGTTAGTTTGTACATGTTAAAAAAGTTAAACCAGAGAATCAATTCTATCATGAGCCAAACTTTGAATGAATATTATAGATAAACATAGAATTATCGGACAGAAAATAAATCTTATTTTTATTACCTATCGTTAATTCTAGTAATTTAAGTACACAAATAACATTTTGGGATCAAACCCTAAACTATGGACATGGTAACTTTGTTTTTAAAAATTGTTCGCTTAACCCGTCTATACTCCGAAGTCCCACAGCATACTTATTGAAATTCAAATTTTCTACTTCTACTTACACTATAAAGTCGACATCGAATAGTCTAGTAATAAATGCCAATTGGTTGAAGAACATGCACATTTAGTCGTCAGCTTTATCAGCTGTGCAGAACTTGTCATAATCACCTCGCATTATGATAAGAATACGGGCCAATGCTGACACCAACACACTTAATTGATATTATAACTTGCCTTTAGGTTCTCGCTTAGAGAGTTGTAACGCCCACTCGTTAGATACAGCTTGATGTATGTATATAGCCAGCTAGGTCCCTATTTGTGGTCAAACAACGTACAACTATCAAATTATTTTCTTGTTTTTTATTTAAATATAAAAATATTATATGACTAGTTAGGTTGGAATGAACAGAAGTCATCAAATAAATATAGGATATAATATACAGACATTTCAATATATTAAAAACCAAACACTCCACTACTCATACTTTGTTTTATTTCTGTTACATTTAGTAAGTATCAGAGAGAGAGAGAGGTGCGAGCACAGATTTTCTTTCTCTCTTTCTCTCTTAGCCAAGAAGTTTTACTTCAGTCGTATGGTCTAAAGCACACCCGTTTTTTTATATAATTAGTCCCTAATTTATTTTAAGTATAATACTCGTAAATAATAAATTATAAAAAGTTAATGTGAGAGAAGAAAATAAGTTTACTTTAATTTTTTTGTCCAAAGAGTGCTTTCTCACTCGCTCTCTGCTTTTATTGAAAAAAATTGGGTTGAAAATTTAAAATACAAGTGAAACATTTGTACACAGTGTAGGAGAAGTGTAAAAGTTAAATTTATCAAAAAATATGACTTTTAAAATTGAGTGAAGGCGTCTAAGATATAAGTTGATCTCTCATAGTACGCTATTACAAGTATAGTTTAGGTTTTTTTATTAGTTTAAGTCACACCGGCCTAGAAAAAGAAACATAAAATATGATCCACAGTTTTGTTTTTTTAAAGACAACTCCCGCATTAGAATTATATCCCATGTCACGGGGTACTTTACAAACATACATGAAACGGACAAAAAAAAACACCCAGACTCAGAACAACAATTTTATGGATCACACAAAGTGTCGTCCTATGGGGGGATCGAACCCACAACATTCAGCGTACCTAGTAGTTAACCACCACTATCCGTGCAGTCAGTGTGCAATCCGTGCAGTCAATTATGGTCTAAATTCAACTACCAGACTCTATTTAATACATTTACAAATATGTAGATAATACAAATATAGAATCGTGTAAAATTAAGTGGTGGTCTAGACAACTGCATCTAGCGTTGTGCTTTCGAACCCTCAAAGACAATAATTTGTGTAATGTACTAACCGTTTCTTTGCAAAGGTAGACTTTTCCTATTGCAGCAACGCAGTTCAGTCAGTTCTCTTCAGTGTTACTTGAGAACTCTCTATTTAATTACTTAAACTGAAAAGAATGCTGAAAAAAAATAGATACCTTCTTGTTTATTTAAAATATATCACTAATATAACATTTTTTAGCCGAAAATGCTTGTTGTTGCTTTTGAGTTTAATCCGAACAGACCGGTTTTGACGTAATTATTTAACCTGTTTTCTCATTATTTTTAATTCAAACGGTATGCATTTGAATTTATAATACCTACCTAGTAATGAATAAAAATATTTTGAAATATATATTAAGAGGACGACTGTCATTGTATTGATCAGTGTTCATAACAATGCTTCTTCCGTGTTACATATTCGATTGTATTCAGGTACTATTTAAATATTAGAGCGATGTACCATTAGCATATATTAACACGATATATTGTCAAAATTTACTGTCACTTTTAATGCCAATTAAACTGAAGTAGGAAGAGGATTAAGTCCTCACTTCTTAATTCTGATTTCTAAAGAGAAATAAACCTACTGTCACTTTTAATGCCATTTAAATTGAAGTAGAGAAATTAGAATTTAGAAATGATAATTTAAGACTCAATTCTAAATTCTAATGTCTCTAGTTTCAGTAAATATGATATGATGTTTTATGCACAGAATTCCCGTACATATATGTAGATACATATATTATTGCTACTTTGAGTAGGTACTCTATCGTATCGTATCTTCTGTGTAAATATAATATAGTTTCTAATGGCAAATATAAACGGATAAACATAATACTTACATAAATCACAATAAGACTTACTTTTAAACGGTCCTACAATTAAAAAATAACTCATATATTAGTTAATTAAGTTAAAGGTTCACTTCTCTCTCACTTCTCTAGGTATAATGTGCCAATGACCATAGAGTTACGTACTAGATCTCGCTTCAAGTTAAATTTAAGTTCGTTATGACTTGTTTATCGTCACTTGAACTACCATTCGTACATACTTTCGTTCCCATGTCAGATATATATAGCGGATCGCCATTGCTTTTGTAGTCGTTGTAAAAAAAACAATAAGATCAAATAAAAATATCACCAAAACTAGTCATGTCAAAACTATGAAAATTGTTCTTAACTGTTTTATCTTATCTATTTATATAATATGTAGATATGGAAGATACATGAACTAGCAGCCTACTTCAAGCCGAGTGGTGAATATATTTCTCAACGTCTTTAGTGATACAAGTACCTCATTACGTCTTATAATAGATAAAAATAGCCATAGATTAAACTAAAACTTGATTTCTGAGATTTCAAATGATCCCTTCTGGGGTTTGTCAAATATATCAATAAAATGTCAATCATTCTTGATCTGGTGATCTTAAATAGAAAGATCTTGGACTTATTACATTATTAGTACCTATTAGCCGTACCTAATACCTAAACCCTCAGGTGCCAAATAACTAAACATTCAACTTAGTAAGTAGATATAACTCTTGGTTGTAATGGACTCTAGTATATAATAGGTTTTGTTGATACAGGCTGCGTAGTGCTGTTCCTTTATATTTAACCGTACCTACCATACCAACAGGGTAGATAAGTATTATACCCGTACATTTACCTTTTAACTATGTACCTACATGTCTACATATAACTTTGTAGCTAAACTAAACTAAGGCTGTATTTCTGATGAGGAGATGCTCTTCAAAATTATATTTAGATATAACTGCCTGCGGAACAATGCAATGCCTGCGGATCTACTATATCCTACTGATTAATTTACAAGGTTATGTTAGGTTATGTTCGTGTTATGAGTAAAAATAGGTGTAGGTATGAATCGATGATGACCAGTATATCAACAGCAGTTTAGATCGTCCTAAGAATTATGGAATCGATTACACCGTTATTTAATTAAACACTATTCATAGTATGTCACACATTTATTCAGCTGTTATCTTTACCCAAATTTCCCTTCAAGTATCCGAATTAACTTGTTCTGGAAGCGGAATTCGGGAAAACCGATTAAATACCAGCTGTTGGCTTTTAGTCAATTATAGGTGAATTAAAGGTACAGATTTCAGAATACAAAATCTAAACCTTACTTTAAAAATGTAATTCTATGATTTGACTTTTGTTTAACAATGTTTAAATTAGATATACATCAATAGAATAGTTTAAACATTAGATTTAATTGGAAAAAGGCTTTCCAATTTATCACAAAAGAAATATTGAAAGCGAACGGGCAATGAAAATTAGACATTGGCAATAATTCAAAACCATCTAAATAATCATTTCTCACACACAGCCGTCTGATGCCAAACTAGGCAGAACCTGTGCTATGGTGCTATAGATAAATTACACCCAGGCACAGAACAAAATGATCATGCTCATCACATAATATTTGTACTGGGTGGGAATCGAACCCACGACCTCCGGCTTAGTCAGGGTCACTAACCACTAGATCAACAGGCCCGTCAAATTAAATGACATTTATTAATATTTTTGTCCTCGAAAAAATGCGTTAATCATTCAAATCATTCTAGCAAGTACTTAAGCTTAAGTGTAATTATAGTACCCAATTTTAAAAGAGAAAGTGTTATAATGTGTTTCGAAACCCGACCACACAAGTCGCAAATTATGATTATATCTCGAAATAATATTAGCAAGTAGCATATGTATCTATAATATTTTTGAACTGTTCTGTACTTAAACAAAGTTTTAAACAAAAACCTTCTTCTATTAATTTAATTGTAGGTATTCATAAAATTAATTTAATTGTAGGTATCTAGTCTCGAGCTGACCGTTAGGTAGTTGAATTATAATATTTCTTCTAATTTATTACAAATTAAATCTATCGTATTAAATCTAAAGAACTGTCACTTTGCTGTAATTAACATTTCTTAAATAAGAGATTTAAAGAACATACTTAAAAAAATAAAAAAAGAATAAGAAAAATAAAAAAAGCTGTGTAGTAATATCTGTCTATTTCCATACAACAAAGAATCGGTACAATAAATACCTACTTTGTTCTTTTAAGCATTAGCAAAGTATAACAACGAGCAGAGATTAACAACTCTTTAATGTTTTTTGTTAGTTTTTTCAGAAATATTTTATATATATTACAGGCATGTGTTAATTTCACATAATGTTGATTGTTTTTTTTTATACCGTTAATATGCTGCCATTCTGATATTATTACTTATAAAGTTGTATTAAATAAAAATAAACAATTTGAAAAAAAAGGAATTCAAGACACCACCATCTACCTACATCAGTCATGTTTTCATAGATGCACATTAATACAAAACCAGGTTCTGTAAATGAAAGTATCACGTTATATTTAGTTTTTGTACTCTTTCTTCTCAATACTTTCAACCATAAAATTTGTAACGCGCTACTCCTAGCGACATCTACTGGCGAGTAGAAGAGACTAATTTTCAAAATATCGGTCAACAAAATTCCTTAAGAAACTATTTGTTGCTTTTAAGATTACTTTAGAATTAAGATAATAATATAATAGAGAAGTAGTTGTAAATATAAATTATATATATTACATCAAAACCTCCAAAAGAAGGTAATAAACTCACGAATCTTGACATTTATAAATTGTTGTTTTTATCATTAAAATTTTCATTAAAATAATAATCTGATGACAAGGGTTTTGATCATGCTATACTAAAACTAAAAAAATATATTGAATAGATTTGATTTTATTAATTAAACATTAATGAAGTAAAGTTAAACAATATAAAAAAATAAAGATTATTTTTTATAAAAATGCCTTTTTTGCCCATAGTTGCATAACTCGTTCATTGACCATCGTGTCGGTTTCAGATAGTGGTCATGTAATAACGTTATTTCGAAAGAACTGGAATCGCAATTTAGAAACACATGGTATAATTTATCACTTAGGCCTATTCATTTACTTATTAAGTATAATTCAATAAATTCTCATAGGTTTTTCAATACAGTCGTGGTGTGGTAGCCGTCTACATTACATTTAACCTCGTCCACAGTATTTTCCGTTCAAATGAAGCCATAGTAGTAACATACTATAAATATACTCGTTATAGTTATAATCATACTCTTTCATTCTTTTAATGACCGGCTGCTGTGAAAATATGAAACTGTGACATTCCATATAGACGTTGAATTAAAAAAAGACGTTCCGATTCGGGTTTAGTCAACATTTAATACCTACTTATATAACAGAGGGCCATACCCGCAGTTGAAAAAAGTTGTAAAAGGAAGCATCTTCTCTAAAATGTTGAGTCGAATACTGTCAAAGTTACACAAAACTCAGAGGTGAGAATTACAAATATGATCGTACGGTAACTACATATATATATTTTATTGTTCTAGGAGAAAGTTCGGGATCCTGTTCAGAAGACGAGATAAACAATGTTGATGAAACGAGAGACCGACCTGAAGCGCACATGTGCCCGCGCTGTCAGGAACAGTTCGAGAATCTTCACGAGTTCCTATATCATAAACGACTGTGCGACGAAAAAGCGTTGCAAATGGGAGAGGAAAGAATGCACTCCGATCCTGAAGAAATGGTTGTTTCGGGAGATGAAGAAATGGATGGGCCTAATAAAAGGCTAGAACAAGTCCGCCGGCATCGACAAGATGCAGCGAACAATAACAGCCTTGAAGACGGTGAGGCTGAAGTGCCTGAAGCTGATGTGCCACCAGTCGGACTTCCCTTTCCAGTGGCAGGCCACGTTACACTAGAGGCTTTACAAAATACTAAAGTGGCAGTAGCTCAATTTGCCGCAACAACTATGGCAAATAACGCAGATAATGAAGCGGCGTTGCATGAACTAGCCGTGTTACAAAGCACACTATTTACGCTACAACACCAACAAGTATTTCAGCTGCAATTAATACGCCAATTACAAAATCAACTGTCATTAACACGTCGGAAAGACGATCCGATCCAGAGCCCACCGCCGAGTGAACCAGAGCCAAGTTTGCCAGCGCCTCCCGTTCGATCACCGTCGCCGCCGCGTCCGCCACGGGAGCCAACTCCTGTCGCACCTACCCCTCCCACTAGTCAAAACTTGCCGTCAACCCACTCACATCTTACACCTAAGACGGAACCACTTTCCATTCCTAAACTTCCAACCTCGTCTCCACCAATGATGAGTCATCCACCTTACAGCTCTATTTCCTCGTCGTTAGCGTCTTCAATAATTACAAACAACGACCCACCACCGTCTCTCAACGAACCAAATACGCTAGAAATGCTTCAGAAAAGAGCTCAAGAAGTATTAGACAACGCGTCACAAGGTCTATTAGCGAACAATCTTGCCGATGAACTCGCCTTCAGAAAATCTGGCAAAATGTCACCTTACGATGGAAAATCTGGAGGAAGAAACGAACCATTTTTCAAGCATCGTTGCCGTTATTGTGGAAAAGTGTTCGGAAGTGACTCAGCGCTGCAAATCCACATTCGATCACACACAGGTGAAAGGCCATTTAAATGTAATGTATGTGGATCACGATTTACAACCAAAGGAAATTTAAAAGTACATTTCCAAAGACATACATCAAAGTTTCCGCATGTCAAGATGAATCCAAATCCAGTACCAGAACATTTGGACAAATACCATCCCCCACTGTTAGCGCAATTGTCGCCGGGACCGATTCCTGGCATGCCACCACATCCACTTCAATTCCCGCCGGGTGCGCCAGCTCCTTTTCCGCCAAGCTTGCCATTGTACAGACCTACACATCATGATATTTTACCACCTCGTCCACTTGGCGATAAACCTCTACCACCTCATCCATTATTTGCGATGCGAGAGGAACAAGAAGCTCCGGCTGATCTCAGTAAACCATCCGCGCCGAGCCCCTGTCAATCGGGACCAGAGGTTAAGTCTGAACCACAAGATGAAGAGAGTCAGCGGGATTCCAGTTTCGAAGACACAGATCGTGTATCTCCTAAACGAGAACTCGAAGAAAACGATACAGCACCAGATCCAGAACAAGACAGATATCCTTCAACATCACCATACGATGACAGCATGGATTCCAAATATAGTAATGAAGAACAAATTGGCAGGGACAGTCCTCACGTGAAGCTCGATCCAGATCAACCGGAAAATCTCTCAAGTAAGAATTCACCGATATCTGGGCCAATTTCAATAGCAACGGGTCTACGTACTTTTCCTTCTTATCCCCTTTTTCCTCAGTCGCCGCCTAGTAGTATCTCTTCTGGTAGTTTAACTCCATTTCTAAACACAGTTCACAACGTTGTTGACGTAGATCTGGCGCGTGATCCTATGTTCTATAATTCTATGTTACCCCGTCCCGGCAGCAATGATAACTCCTGGGAAAGTTTAATAGAAATTACAAAAACATCAGAAACATCTAAACTCCAACAGTTAGTCGATAATATCGATAACAAGGTATCAGATCCTAATGAATGTATAGTATGTCATCGTGTTCTCTCTTGCAAAAGTGCCCTACAAATGCACTATCGTACGCACACGGGCGAGAGACCTTTTCGATGTAAATTGTGTGGTCGCTCTTTTACGACCAAGGGTAATTTAAAAACTCATATGGGCGTTCATCGCATTAAGCCTCCCGTTCAAATGTTACACCAGTGTCCTGTTTGCCATAAGAAATTTTCTGATCCCTCAATATTACATCAACATATACGACTTCACACGGGCGAGCGTGCCTCCATCTCTTTTGATCAAATGAGAAACCTTGATATTGACGGTTTTCCATCACCAAGTAATGGGTCAGACGTCAGCGACTATCAAGCTCAGCGCCTTTTCCCACCTCCAATGTTTCCCACTCCGAATACTCCCGGCGACCGACGGGCGGACTCCCACGGGACCGACGATGAGAGCGGCCGGGACGAGCGTGAGCCCGCTATTCGGGAGTTCGACGACGACTTAGATATGAAGGATCGTCGAACTTCGCCGCTCTCCGTCTGCGCCTCGGCGTCCGAAAGCGAATTAAAAACCATCACCACAACGGCTTCCCTCCCATCGGCGACAGGTTCGGAGAGCGGGCGGAGCGCGCGAGCCTCGCCGCCATCACCTACGATGTCGTCGCTGTCGACGCCGCCGAGGCTGCCGCTGCACTCACCGCTGCCGTCGCCGCCGACACCTATCGCCGCGCTCGGCGCTCTCGGAGGATCGCCTTTCAGCCCACTCGGACTCGCGTTTCCTCCCGCAGGTATGCGCTAGCGGGATCTTATATTTTCGTCCGCCCCGGTCGCCCGCATTTCCATTTGCTAATATTGATCCTTGCCCACCGACTAATACATGAATCACCGGGCGCTCGAATACACAAGAGCAATACTAAATACAAGTTATAGTGGAAGAAGTAATAATTTCTCATAATCAAGTGTAATCGTGCGTTCCGAGTGTTGTACAATATTAGTGTCATCGAAACCACAATGAACAATCGGTTTATTTGTGTGCAGTGCGCGGCAACACGACCTGTAACCTCTGCTACAAGACCTTCGCCTGCCACTCTGCTCTGGAGATACATTACCGAAGTCACACCAAGGAGCGACCATTTAAGTGCACCGTTTGTGATCGAGGCTTCTCAACAAAGGTATGTTTCTAATAGTACTACGTTCATATCTAGCTATCAAATCGTCTCTCATCTATAGCTTCGCTGTAGACCTTTACATTTCTGTTAACATGTTTTATGACTTGTACAAACTTAGATACCAACAGTAAATAAGTACTTATACGAGTACTTTGTAATCATAAATCTTTAGAACACAATGGTTTAATATGAATAGTGGAACAGTCGCTTACACACTCGTGGGTCAGATTGAGAATCTTTGGCTTATAGCCAGTTCATACTTTATTGTTACACAAATAGCGAGACGTGCGTGTTTATGACTTTTTCACTAATTTTCACTACATCTGCACAAATTCATTGACAATTAATTATTTTCAATGTAAAGTATTACTAACTTAAAGATATAAATACTTGCTATAAAACGAACGTAGAGAGAAGAGAAACGTAGAGTTAAATTCTGTAGGTATATAACAAACCTGTATCTATAAAACCTTTAAATCTAAACTTGTACCTCTTGTGCTCTTTTGAAATTAATTGCACAATTAAAAACTATTGGTGTTTGGCCTTTGCTGCGGCTATAGGATTAGGTACGTGCGCTTCGGCAACAGGACCCGGTGATAGAAAACCGTAAGGGCTTACTTCCCTTAGTCGCGATCAGAGGACCGTAAGACAAACAAAATAACATTTTAATCAAATATAATATATTTAGGATAGGAGTTTAAAAGTTTACGTAGAATTAACATGCGCGGGGCATCGAATTCCAAGTTTAACCCGAGACATCGACGAACATCTGTTATAGGCGACTAAGTTTATGCGATGGTTTCATTTCATCCAAGTTTCGGTGCATTAATTTTGCAGGCAGTAATTACTAGTTGTTAGTTGGCGCCGCTAGTTCGCATCAGTTTTGGCTGTTGTCTTATTCTGTCACCTCGCATCTAAACTGTTGCCGGCTCGCCGTGTAATTGAGGATTAACTGCGCAAAACTTGTAGGCTAGTTTGTTCCGATTTAATCAAACACCGGTGTACAACACCGTTGATCTCACTCACAGTTTTATCAACGTTCGGAAATAAAATGTCGTTAATTCTCAAAGAACTTGTCAGATGTATCTGCAAGTCTAGGTGGCTTATATTCATTTATAAGGCTAGCACTTGTTTGTCGAGGGGCCGACTACATTTACCATCGTTTCTAGCACAAATAATTAAACTTTGTTTATTATCCAACTTCAATACTTTATAGATAATCGCAAATTGAACTGTATGTCATGTCATTAATTTATTACATAGAGATAATAATGTATTTACATATGATACGGTTACATAGGTACTAAACGACGTGGCACTTGTAGACAGGCCAATCTCCCCTTTCCTGCAATGATACTCATTTTACACTGTCTCGAGTCGTGAGATCTCAATTTTAACTGTACACTTAAGAAGAGCTACATTAACTTACTTTGCATTAAAGAAAGTCACATAAGTGCAGGGCAACCGCAAAAGCGTGTTGAATAGCCTTCCGCTGTAAACCACAGGAGTAAAATAATTAAAACAATATGGTATTATCTTGATATAATGTGACAATACGGGAACATACACATATCAAGCAAATTGTATCTCTAGTAGAGTCACGAATCAAGCTTTTAGGAAAAAATATACCTAACTATTAAAAAACCGATGCCTTTAACGAAGGTAAGAATGTTGAATTTATAATTTTAGAAATAATGTTTTTTTTTTACATTTAACACATGCTACTTAAATGAAACTAATTTATAAATGTTATTTTTTGACTACTTACCTTTCATCATATAATATCGCTAGACCTACTGTAGATGTTTAATTGACAACATATAATTGAACCTGCCTGTTCGCACTTGACTCAGGACCTACTAATGAATATATGAGACGATATTATCTCAGAAATATGTAGGTATAGCTACTACTTTAAAGATATTATTCAAACATCTAAATAATAATGTGAAACATTTATTAGGAGGTGGATACAAATAAAATGAATTAATTCAATATTTTAGACAGTAAATAAAGGCTGTTAAAAGCATTTTTATGATGATACAAGTTTTATACTCGGTTCGGCCAATATTTCAAGCGCGTAGTGTAAAGCTGCGCTTGCGACGGTCCATCGCGTCGCGCCACAAAAATGATAAGTCATAAAAACAACGTCACGGAAAACGATCGGAATATTAATTCATGTCGTAAAATATTTATTGCTTATAAATCCTTGAGCCTTTACCTACGCTTCTCGTCATAAAAAGATTATTTATGCTTGACAAAGTAACATTTTTCGTATGTTACCGAAAGTGACCAGGGTTCTTATCAATAAAATATAGGTTATTTACGATGGCGCCGAGGTTAACAGTTTGAAACCGTTTTCGTTACCCGCATTTCAATTAGTTCTTCAAATAAAATGGTAGGTGGAAAGACACTAAGTTACTTCGAGGGTCACAAAAATGATATACTTATTTACAACTAGCGAAGATGTACACCTACTCGTATATATTGAATTAATAAATATTTGAATGTAAACATTAATACTTATTTCCTATTACATATCCTTAGTCTACTCCATACATACTAGCTTTAACTCTCGAAAATATTTTTTTCTGGATGATTGGTACTTACCTAATACTAATCTCTATACCTATATTATAATAACATTTATAAAGCTTTTTAAGCTCTCGATAATCATGCTAGTACAACCAAAAATTACGCACTCTGATATATATCCATTTATTCCTCTCTATGTACAATCGTTAAATACCTAACTCCTACTATTGGTCACATTGACAAGTTGAATACTACACCCGACATAACCACTCCTTAATTCTGACTCATAAATTCTCAATATAATACTGATGAATGACAGATCGCTATGTCTATTAACGATCGACATTATAAATTATCATTATATTTAATTGACAATTTACCTAAAATAGACGTCTATTAAGTGTTTTAATATCTTTATATGAAGAAAACATTCTAATGAGGTAAGATCTGGATATAATTTTGGCCCGTATGTTCGATGGCGGCGATCTACGTATATTCCTATTCGCGGTTGTCTTGCTATGCTAATAAAGTTTGTTTAAATCACTATATATCATTTTCAGAAGCCCACACAACAAGTCCTGTTACTTGTTAAAGTAGATGGAGTAATTCGCGATCATGTAACAATTTAAAAATATTAGTTATGTAGTTCGTATTAAGTCGATTTATCTGTTAGTTAGTTAAATAAAGCATATAATCTTACAAAATGTAATATTTCTTTTGTTTTCATACCATAAAGAAGCCGTTTCAAGTGATTTTGAGGCGTAAAAATACATTATTTAAAATTCTTAACTGTACTGTACTTTCCTTATAGGTACCTAAACCTTTAAGTACCTAAGTACTTATTCTATATATTTTTGCTTCTCCATTTGCAAAAAAAAATGGGTACAAAGAATTCTGTCCTATATTAATGTCAATTACTATGTCAGACACTAGGTATAATATAGCTACGAGAATAATGATTGTAAACGTCAAACAATCTCTACAAAACAATACCAATAAGGTGATGCGCAGCACCCTCTAGATACGCAGTAGCCAAAATCCGAAACCAATTATTCTTAATCCACCCACTATTGGTGATTTTTATCGCAACTGTACACTCGTTTATTATAACTCCACTAGAATCCCGTTTTTCGAAGCAGCGATCTGAGCCAAACAATTGATTTTACCACATTTATAAAAAAGGTGTATAAGATGTGATCTAGATTACTTCATCATCGTCAACACTAAGTCCGTCACCACTAGAACTCACAACATATCTGTGTTATCTGTCTCTTGAAGGTTGCATTACTTGTCTAACGTCCTTCAATAGTTTTATACCTATACTCCTTTGAGAATCATTAGAAAAGAGGTAGATATAATCAATGTCTATGGTGAAAGAATTTCCAAAACTTAGTTAAAATTAACTTCCAAGACTTTTTGACAAACAAGATCGTTTTATAGTTTTCTTGTACACCCTAAACTTATAGCTCAGTTTTTATTTGACATTTTACTTATATAATTGGGGCAAAGCCTATTGCTGTCAACCGGGCATCTTGGGAATTAAAAATGGGAAAATTGGTAATAGGTACATATATTTAAACGAAAAGGCAGATAAGAAAGAAGGGCAATGGAAAGAAAAAAGATACTGTGTAGGCAATAGGCCACGGTTGCATGCCAGTACTATAATAACTTGGACTCAAAAAAACATTAGGTATCCATAAATATTTAAAAATATGAAGTTATTTGTAGCTCTCAGTATCTTTATTGACAGTTATCACTTGAATAATTCACTCAACATTTCTTTATACTTTGAAAAAACTACGCTATCGAATATTTTTATAAATAGAAGTCGCAGTAATGTACAAGGAAGAAAAGCTTCTGAAGGCGTTCTCGTGAAACTAAACATACTTTATAGACTTTACATGTTGGTATGCTATGAGATGAAGTGAACCAAACGGGTTACTGTAATGTTCGTAGGACAGGCTAGCAACCTGTCACCACCTACGCGTTGTCGTTGCGATCTTAGGTTCGATGTTGGTTCTAGTCAAAACAACATATGAACAACGAAAGAAGTCTTAATGAAGTCATTCTTACTTACATTAAAGTTTTCTAGCAATGCATAGGTACTTAAAGCACAGACGTGTAGATACCTATATCCATTTGAACTCCGTACCCTTTTAAAAAATCAATATATCTCAAATCTTGAAAAATTACAGGGCAATATAAAAACTTATGTGCTTGTACAGTAAAAGTCAGTGAAGCTTCATTCCAACACTAATTGACCATCTTATCGAGAACACCTATTTCTTTTTAATAATGGAGTTCACAAGTCTTTTCAAGAATTTTAAAGTTTCTAATCTTACCTGTGTTAAAATTGAAATGAATTAAAATTGAACTGGCGCATGTTTAACAACAATTTGCTCATAAAATACGACTGCAAAACAAATATAACAAAAATTATATCAATAATTTAAATTTACGATAGCAAAACGTTCAACTTGTAAAGGCGAAGAAATATCTATATTTCATACGCAATGAACTTGGTACCTGTCGTTTGGCGTTGAACAAAGACCTAAAATCCGATGAGGTTTTTTCAATTTTGCGTGTATTCATTTCAGAAACCACGCCATGCTCTTTTCCCTATCATACTAAAATAAATTATCGTAACTTTATTTTTTAAGCAATGGTAAAAGCTATTTGACTAGATTACCTACAATTAAACTTTGAACACATACTTAATCAATCCCTTTTATGAACATACCTATATTACCTACCTAATGGCTTAAAGAAAAAACAAAGGAAATTTTATTTATTTCTCGAGCAGAAACATTCAACTTTTCTTTTATTAAGCTATTTATTAACTTTATTGCGCATCTATAAAGGGTAGTACTCGTAGTAGGTCTGATACGCAAAAGAATTGCCAGTGCATTATCATCTGCAGTAACTGAATACTGCAGTAGTTAATACAGATAGTTCCTGCGTTTGCAAAACAATACCTTACTAATTAGCACTAGACAGAAATAAGTTTATTTTGATCACGATTTTGCGTATTTCAACTTTATAGATGCACTTTTTCAATCTCATTTTTTAAACTTAAAATTTAGTAAGTATAACATTTGTAGATCGACCGAACTTTAGAAAGTAAGAACAAAAACTTCAGTGCACGTCGTGAAGCTCATATTAAATATTAAAATAAACTTTTAGTTTTCAATTTAAACTCAAGGTGCAGATCTCATTGTCTACGCTTAGTGATTTTAAACATGGTACTAGGCGTTAAGCGTCTGAACCAGCTGCTTACAAGCAAATTTAAAATTACAATAAGAGTCACCGACATTGCAACGACGAAAGTTCACGCGCCATACTATTTTATCGATTATTCCAATCTCTTTGTACTACACGCTGGTTCACGGTTTATTGACTTCTGAGATCGGTCTTACAAAAATACTAATATCAGCTATAAATATAAAATCCCATATCTCATATGTACTCAATTGTTAATTCTGTACATAAAATGATATTTATAACCTATATTCACTGTTAAACTCGACGTTTTTAATACTATTCTTACGTTATGCGACAATTGTATTATCGTTTACTGTTTTACTCTCAATATAAACATGCACTCAGACCATATTGTAACAAACGTATACATTATAGTGATTCTTAATAGAAAAATAAAACGGCGGGTGTTCCAATACCAAAACAAACATATTTATGTCGAGTATGTTCACTTGTTTCGACACAAAACCCACGTTACCATTTTAGTGTCTTAGACTTATTCTTAGTAAAGAACCGAAAATAACGAAAACACTCACCTAACACTAGTTACGTCGCAAAAAAAGTAGTTTTAACGTAGTTTCTAAGAAAACCATAGTTGAGCTTAATGTTATTCATGTAAAGCTTTTTCATTTTAAAACGCCATATTAAGAACTTAGAAGTAAGTACTCATATCTCTCGTGTCTAAATAAATCACTAAAGATTATTATAGCAATATTATTTTGGGGACACATACTTACAATAACATAGGTACAATTTATCATAAAAAATTGAAAGATACAGTAAGTATGGCTTTAAAAATAACAGAAGTACAAAATTTCATTGAAGTCTAATTTTATAGGAACGTTCACATTTACCTAATAAACATACTTGTTAGTCATTTACCTACATAGGTTCGCTCATTTTCTTAAGGAAACCAATTTAAAACTAGTTATTACGCAAACTACTTAATTCCAAGAACGTCACATCTAAGTTTTTTATTCATATGTATTCGACAAGTGCTCAGTCTTACATATCCTACTCTAGCCGTTCCCCGTAATTTCACTTGCGTTTTTAGTCACTGCTCCGCTCGCTAAAAGGTGTGACTTCTTAATTAAATATCTACTGTATTCAATACAAAAAGAATCACTTAAATGATAGTTAGAGATTTAAACGAACAAAAGGTGAGATTTATTATATTGGTATAAATAGTAGGTACCTATAGATTTAAATTCAGTGCAAAAAGGTTTGCATTGAATACATTATTTTCTTATAAATTTATAATTTACCTTCACTACTTCGGGGCGGGGGAAAACGGTTGATAAATTACACATTTTGTCACAAACAAGTGGTGCTAACTTGCTTAATATTCTCTTTACTTCTAAGAATATCTAAGTATACAAATAAATAAAATTGAAGTGTCTGTAATGTCAAAATAATTGTTTTTTTTATGCTTATACGGTTATTTGCACGATACCTATGCCTAAAAACCAGTTTTAATTTTTTTGTCTGTCTGTTTGTTCTAAACGGCAGGACCGATTTTGATAATATTTTACTACCAGGTAGCTATCTATATAAGGAGTAACTTAGGCTATTTTTCCTCTCAGAAAATTTTGCCTTTAAAATTTTGCCCGGTCCGCGAATCGAACCCACTAAGGCAGCGCGCGAAATTCCACACGAACGAAGTCGCGGGTACCGGGTAAAATGTTAGTGAATAAAGTGTCAGGCTATTCGGAAACCCCAAGAGAGAGTGAGAACTTAAGCTTTAGAAAATAAACATATTGGTTGAATGCGTGTCGAGAGGGGTCCCCTTCACTATAAATATGTATTTCTGTTTTACTTGTCACTTTAAGGATTTTCGTTTAAGATTTCAGTAACCTATGAAAACCTCTTTTTCTAACTCTCGTTTGGTGTATCGCTACGATATTTATTTCATGTAATATTTTAACTTGTTTTAAAATAGTTCCCGATAATCATTTTTGTGATTATGAGCTACTATAGGTCATTAGAAAAACATGCTTTCAGATTTTCTGACTAACTTAAACAATTAGAATTCATAAATCGAAGCTATATTACGCTATGAAGCCATTCATTTAAGACATAGAGATAATCTGTAGGATAGACAAAGCGATAAACAGACTGATACAAAATAGATACCTTAATGCTTTGTTTTTATCATCCTTCTCGAATCTTCTAAAGTATAATAAAGAAATAAATAGGTATAAAAAGTGCACATGTACAAAGTCAACAGACAAACTCCTCTAACACAAATTGTATTCAAATTAAGTAGGTAGGTATACTGACATCGAAATTGAAATTATAATGAAGCCACTTTTTAATAACATTATGCTTGTGCTTATAATTATGCTTTTTAGCACCGAAAAGCATAGTTATAATAGATAAATTTCATCAACGAATATGAATTAGCTTATTAAACAATACTTAAAAGTCATAGCACTAAAATTAAATTATTATTACTGTAAAAATATTTATTTCTTGACAAAAATATGTATTAAAATACGAGTATATTTAAGTATTGAACAAAATAACCTATTTAAATAATTATTTTATTCAAGTATAATTTATAATATATTATAAATAATACTTATATAAAATTTAAATAAACCTTTTTTAAAAGTATTTTAGGATACAAATGGAACAGTGAAATCCCAATGATTAGATAAAGCTTTTTAATTTATTAAGTAGGTATAATTAAATTATAATGTATACTCACAATGTATACTCAATTATAATGTATAATCACGGTACCCATAGAGCAATTCTGTGTAAGTCACTTTAAAACTACTCCAACTGTTGGTATCTTAGTGTGTTCTAAACTTTGTAACTGTGTGTTTTATGTTCACATTGTGCCGTACGTACGTGTGCGTGATGGTGTGCGTGTGTAACGTTATGTATATTTGTGGTTCCAGAGCAGTGGCGGCGGTTGCCGGTGTGGTAGGCGCGCGCGCGCATCCCGCCCCCCGCACGCCACTGCTTTGGACCTCTGGAACGCCTTCGTTTACCCGGTATGGAAGAGTGACGCCTGGCCGAGGAGCGTGGAACTTTATCAGGAGAGCTATCCTTAACCACCCAATGCAACTCGTCACAGATATCAACAATAAAATTAATTTTACATTTCTTCCAATTTACAACCATTTTAAGCTCTCCTGATACAGAATCCATTCTTTTGTTCAGTTAGTTATTAAAGGACTAATACGTGTATTTTACTTTCATAGCACTAAAATTACTTAATACTGTAGAATAAATCAATGTTATTTATATAGCCGAACAGAGGCTTCAGACAGGCTCTTGTCTATGAACATTAAAACTTAAAGGGTAAACATAAAGGATGTTTATTAATAACTTTTATTTCTTCTTTAGGGCAACATGAAACAACACATGCTGACGCACAAGATCCGTGACGTCCCTCCTGGCTTCGACAAGAGTCAAGATGATCGCGAATCAAGCCCGGACAGGCGCTCATCTCCTGACAAGATTGACCTGAAACGATCGTCACCTGCGCATCCTCCGCCTCCAATCACGCACGCCCCACCCATTGACATGCCACCGATGCCTAAGCGACCTACCGGTAGGTTGTAAAATGCATATTATATGTATATATTATGTGAAGTCGTTATAATAAAATATATATACCTACTTGCTATACAAGTATACAACTATACAACTAAGCAGACAGACACAGAATAGAACACAACACACAACCATACCTATATATATATATAGGTAACACTCCTGAAAAGTAAAAGCCCATTTTTATGGTGTGTTCCTCTTGTCCCTTAATCTTCTTTTATCAGAAGGGTCCAGCGTCTGCTTTTTTTTTAAAACCTCTGTAATACAAAAACTAAGTAAATAGTCTATCTACGCTAGGGCCATCTCCAAAACATCTAATGTAATAATAATTCTTTGGAAATGGTGCAACCGAATATAAACACTATTTATTATACTCTTATCGCTGTGAAGATCTTATTACTAAGAGAGACTAAAATCTATCTACATAATATATCTGTCTCATTTGATTTGTATGAAATAGATATTGCCTAGCGTACACATTAACGCCTTTAAACAAAGTATTCTCAACTTTTATAACTGAACCCGACTATTATATCCATCCGCAGTACCGTCAGCGCCGACGCACCCTCCTCCACCTGTATCATCGAAACATCTTTGCGGAGTTTGCCGCAAAAACTTTTCTTCGTCGTCCGCATTGCAGATCCACATGCGAACGCACACTGGTGACAAGCCCTTCAGGTGTGCCGTCTGCCAAAAAGCCTTTACAACAAAGGGTAACCTCAAGGTAATTTTTTCTACTATTGTTTTTCTTTTCTACAGGTAACAATCATCGAACAACCCAAAATTTTCTGATCTTTTTCTCCTTCGTGTATACATACATACATACCTATAGTAACAATATGTATATGTCTTCTTTAGGTGCATATGGGTACGCACATGTGGAGCGGAGGCGCGTCAAGGCGTGGACGTCGTATGTCCCTGGAGTTACCGCCGCGGCCACTCCACGAGCCCCATGACCTATTAAGAAGGCCAGACCTATTCTACCCGTACCTGCCCGCGCCATTCCTCAACGGCATGCAGCAAAAGGTTAGTTAAATCTAAATACTCTAGTATCTACTTAAATATACTAAAAATTATTTAATATGTAGGTAAGATGTCTTAATTTTAATGCTTTATTTCCAGCTAAATGAAATATCAGTCATTCAGCAGAGCGCGAGCCAAAACGGAGTAGCCGGAAAGTTCCCAGGGCTCCTCGGATTTGGGGCGTTTGCAGGAGCGAGGCCCGGTGCAGCTTCACCACTAGAGAGACCACCGTCACTAGAAGGTGGAGATGAGAGGCAGGCAGCTATGCGTGAGTTAGCAGAGCGTGGGCGAGAGTTGGCTGAACGAAGTCGCCAAATGCGTGAGGAGAGCGAGTACCGTTCGCCTCCGGCACTCGGGCACCCGCCGCCCGCAGCGCAAGCGTCGCCGCCTGCGCCGCACCACCCGCATTCGCACCCGCTCGCTTCAATCCCGCCGCCCGCTCGCACAGAGGGCCTCACCGTATAAGCTTAGGGAAGAGAAAACGGCCAAGTACATTCCAGAGGTAAAGAGAACCTCGACTAAAGGACATTTGAAGAGTGGAGGCGTCGGTGCCTCAGTGGCAATGCGATGTTACGTCGTGTTCATATTGTACAAAGAATATTATAGTCTAGTGTGAGTGCGGACCGATCGTTAGCAACGAACGCCTCTTGTAGAGTAATTATTGCGAGGTGTAGTGCTATGTGCCGTTGTTATTCCACGTGTTATTACGCCTAGTATTACTGTAAGTAACTTATTATGCACGAGTACGGGCCGGGGGCAATCGGAGGCTCTCGCGAGCTCCACGTTTATGTCATTACTCTGTGATAGTGCACATACGGAGGCTGTGTCTTACATACCGTGAGGTCGTTCGGTGATGATATCGTCTTATTGATGCAGTCTTATGTGCTATGACATCAAAAATTATAATAAATTATCCCAAAAATTAAGTAATTTCATAAAATTATATCTTTTTAAATTAAATGTAAATAAATTGTATAATAGTATTGTAATGAGCTAGTAAATATAAATACTTGAGTTTATAAAGTACTTTATTGTTATATTGTACGATTACATAATGGAGTGCAATATGCATGATTTTGTCTTTTGCCACATTCCAAACGATTGATGTTGCTGAGAAAACTCATTTTTATAACTATTTTCATTTGAAAAAAATAAAACGACTGTCTGAAAATTAATTATTAAGTAGCCCCTAATAAATACTACTGATATGCATACCAAAAGTAATTCTTGAAATTCTATTAGTTACGCATCTACATATTGTCTTTAGGTATTCAATATTGTATTACAATACATTTAATTGTAACAGAGGTTAATGACATATTCATATCATGTAAATTAAAAGTATTTGCATTTGAGGTCTATAGTTATAAGTATTTAGAGTCATAGCTATTATATTGCTTTAGAATACTTCAACATATCTTTGTAAACATGTGAGCGACTGGTGTGTTGACACGTTGACTAGGTACTTAACACTTAGGTACTTTGTAGTACACCGGCATTGTACGCAGACTGACGACTTTGTAAACTTTATTGTATTTTTTTTTTTCCAATTATGCATTTTGTCAATCCTTGATAGTAGTCGCCGTAGTCCAGTTGCTAATTAAATTAATTATTTTTTAAAGAATCATATATGTATTTTAATACTTTGGAGACTAGTGATCTGTGTATAAATGTCCTACTAAATTATTTATAAATTATAAATCATGCATACACTCTTAGTATTAAATGAATGCTTGCGACGCGATAGGGCTCGCGCGACATTTTAGTTGACTAGAATAAATTCTCATAGCACCTACGAGCTAATAATTATATCAAGTTGCAAATAGATTTAGACAGTAGCATTAGTATGATGTGTCATGTCATGTCAGTATAAATAATCACTGTAAATTATTAAATGTTTATGTAAATGTCCAAAAAGTATTCAAATTATTTAAAAAAAAACAATTATTATACTAATATTTTTTTCTTTTTTGTTATTCCTTGCCCTTACCTACCGTTTCAGTTTTATTTTACAAGTTTTACTATCTACTGCATACATCAATCAAAGCACAGAAATATGGCGAACCAGCTATCTAGTTGATCCGACGAATTGCTGAGCTGTGTACTTTCATGAAGGTGTCACAAAACATTAGATAACTTGGAAAACTGTGCTAATGACATTCCCTAATCATAGGGATTTGAAACAATTTTGAGGGTGGCAATACATGAAACAAAATTACTTCTTACCTCCACTTTCCTTTTGTCCTTAGGAACCAAAGTTGCAATATTTTGAAAAGCTATTTGTATTTGTGTACAAGAGAGATAAAAATCGAACAAGGATAAGCAATCTTCAGCATTTCGTTACTGAAAACTAAGTAATTGTCTTCATTCGGCATCGAAAATATTCTTTTCCAAAATTGTTTCATTGGTTCATGTTACAAAAAAAAAAGGAATATTAATATATAGCTATCAAAGTTTCGACACAGCACAATAAAACTTCTAGCTTTTAGAAAAATTTATGGTTTTGTAACATGACTGTGAGTTAAGATGTGTATGTGTAATACACCACGACACCTACGAAAATCCATTATTAACGTAGAAAGAGTTAGAGTAGGCCTTAATTTTCAATAAGTGCATTGAATGTGGTGTATTTTCTGATTTAATGAAACATAGTAAGATCATTTATTTATTTAAGGCCGGTAGCACGTCTGATCCTACAAATTATAGCCCAATTTCAGTGTTGCCTACTTTCAGTAAAATTTCTGAGAAGATTATACTAAATCAGCTACAAACTCACTTTAGTGCAAACTTAATGTTAATCAGGTAAAAACCAGTGTTCTGATAAACGGAAGTAAGTTAGATCTTGTGGACACCACAATTTTTTTTGGGTTATAACTCTAGCAGGGCCGCCGCTGTATTATAGCTGTATGAGTGATGCGATGCATTGCCGCGTGCAATGCCAACGAAGACGCTCTTTTTTATGACGAAATCGCCCTTCGGATACCCCCCACCGGACAACCCGTGCGTTGGGGTTGTTTATGGATTATTTTATTTCTGATGAAGTTCTTTTTGTCCTTATTTCAATGAATTATAATCAAGGGCGGGAGTTTGGGCCCCGGTAACCTCATTCACTCGAAGAAAAGCAACAAAAGAATTGCTTAGCACCGGTGTCCTGTGAGGCCACGGTATCTCTCCGGACGAGCCGCCCCATTATATGCCGAAGCATGGTTCTCCTAATGAAGAATGTTTTTTTCGTTTTGTCTCTTCGCCTTCAGACAGCACTACTTTTAATACTAAACCCCGGCCCAATCATAACGACACGACGAACTTACGATCCGCGCAGAGCAAAACTGGTTGAATACGGACCCGCGATGACTGACATCGTGGCACAGCACGGCGTTCTTCGGCAGCCCGAAGGACTCTTTGGTATGACGCCACTCAAGTTTTGCTCTACGCGACCGGGAGAAGGTTCTAAACCAATAACTGTCCCATTTCGACCTCTCTTCGTGAGTATAAATTAATTTTGCTCGCAGGAGTTAGCGGAGTTTCATTTCATTTATTCTTTATTGTACACACTGGACACACATATATATATATATATATAAGTAACAAGTAAATGTCATGTACAAAGGCGAGCTTAACCCAAAACTGAGTGTAAAACCTTGTACCTGCCTTTCACTGAGTGAGTGAGATTTCCGGAGCCCAAATTCCCCCTACCGCTGACTCGAGCGGGAAGGTATAAAAGGGCGGCAACGCACTTGTTACTTTTGAGTTGCAGGTGTCCATGGGCGGCGGTAGTTGCTTATCATCAGGTGACCCGTCTGCTCGTTTGCTCCCTTATACCATAAAAAAACAGAGTTCTACCCGCTACTCACTCATTACCATGGATGCTATCAGTCATGAGGCCATGGCTCTGTTCCACACACGCCGGGCATTCTGCCACCGTGTGAAGCATCGAGTCCACGCTCTGGCCATCGCAATGGTGGCACCCAGGCTTTAGCTCTTAGCGGATCAGACACATGTGATCTCCAAAACATCCTTTGCGTCAGCCGATATCAGAGGATGGCGTGTTTTCTCTGCACTAATGCACTAATTATCGTTTTTATAATGCATTTCATTTAGAATGTCGTACAATAAGACTGCATATGAAACAGTGGTCCGGTCATGGTAAACTATCCTATAGCTCATTACTAAGGTATGTATAAACGTTATAAACTAAAACCTAGTGCATAAGAACTGAGCACTAGGACCTAATAACCTACTTTACGTTTATACCTATTTATATCTTCTGAATGATTTGGTTTTTTTTTATGAAATCCGTTTTTACAAACAGTATCAACAAATTCAAAACAACGTATAAAAAAATGTACAGCTCGCTAGAAAAGCGTTTTATATGAAATCTAGCAAATGGCCAAACGTTGTCGCAGCGGAAACTTGAATATCTTCGCAGTTTTATTGACACACAAATTTCATTTCGACATACATAATTACCTCACATCATACACTAATTATTGATACCCTTTATTTTCTTCTACGTCCAAAGGATAAAAAAGTGCCACAGTTTTTCGTGAATAACTCCCTAATAATTGGATGTATAGGCGACCAAGAAATTGGTTTACCACTTTTGATGACATCTCCCAGTACCATAATTATTCGCTAAGGATTACTGTATTACATTAACGTAATTGGTTAACTGTTATTTTTGTAACCGATATAAGACATTATAAATGGATACTCTTACCTAAGATACAGACAGGTTCCCTGCCTAGTTTAGGAAAGAGAGTCCTATGACTATTGTATATATGTTGTACTGGTTTTTTTTTTCTTGTAAAGGACAATGGCAGGTCCCCATACATAATTTTATTTGAACTGAAATGTTAGCGTTTAAATATCAAAAAATCCTTAACACTTGAGAATTTATTCTTGACCATTCTCATATCAAAATTACTTGCGAAAGAAGTCTAGGAAAAAAGATATTGGATTTTGAATGTTTCGAGGTTAAGTACTAACATATTGTTAATGTTTTGTTTGAAACTAGATGGCGTTGTGTGTCAGATAGCCGAAAATATTATTTTCATTATTATTACTGTATGTGAAATAAAAAAAATAAAAGCATAACATCTATTCGAGTTTAACACTAAATTAAACAAAAATAAAATAACAAACGTGGTGAGTCCGGAACTTGACAGGATCTAAACGACAGATTAAGAGATATGTACTAAACGACGACGTATCGACATTTTGTATATCGATGTATGTCTATTTATGTGCCGTTGTCAATGACAATTTATTTTTCTCATCACACTGTGTAGTGGAAAATAACGTAACTATATTCTATTTCTTTAGTGTGTTTAAAATCGTTTAAAGAGAGTCAAAAATATTTTAAATCATTTCTAATTATGTTGATTCAGTCACTCTACCGTACGAGTGAAGACGTGGGCAGAAGCAAATTCATAATCATAATAGTGAACCTTCGGTAAATATTTCAGCCAAAGCTATAAGAATCGATTATCGATAAATTGTTCCATAATATAATATTGCCACCACGCATCCCTAGTCAGTTATACGTGATGGCGAATCTGACATTACGTACTTAGGTCAAATAAAATCTTCAAAAATATCTTATCTCTTATAAGACTTATACAACACATGGTGGTGTAATGATAAATCATAGAAAAAAAATTGATTAAGTTTACTGTGACTCGATTTTTTAAACGCTTAAGTTTTAGGTAAATATGTTTCTGCCATTGTTCTTTAAGTATTATAAGACAACACTGTATGCCATGTACAAATTACTTACTTGAATAAATTATTATTATTATTATTATTCTCTTTATTAAATTATATATACATATTAATTACATTTTTAAATATATTACAAAAAAAAAAAAAAATACATTTAAAAATATAAAAAATAGTAGACCACCGACATCGGGTACAGGTACCAAGACACCAGTGGTTAGGACTGCAAAGATAGGAACCTCCTCACTATACGAGCCGTGTCGAGGAGGACTGCCTTCTGTATCAGACCCTTGATCCAGCCGTCCAATGTGAGCCTCTTAAGGTGTTGGTCGAGGCTCTTGGCTATCAATCCGTGAGCAGATACGACTATCGGAACAATTATCACTGAATCGACATTCCACATATCGACAATCTCGTGAGATAAATCCAAATATTTTATTTGTTTTTCTTTTTCAACTTTCACGAGATTCTCGTCATGAGGAACGGCGATATCAACAATCATTGCGCGGCGCTCTAATCGATCTATCACTACAATATCAGGCTTATTAGCAACAATAGTCCTGTCTGTGATAATAGATCGATCCCAATACAACGTGGCCCGACCATTCTCGAGAACTGGGTCGGGCACATACCTGTAGTATGGCACCTCTAGATTCACAAGATGGTATTTAAGGGCAAGCTGTTGGTGTACAATCCTGGCTACTTGGTTGTGCCTATGCAAATATTCACCGTTAGCAAGACGAAGAACAACCAGAAATGATATGCCTGATTGATTCCCCAGGACGGTGGCATGCCCGACATATGTCAACCGTACCATCTTTCAGGATATATTTCCGATAGTTATTGGTCATGATAACTTCGTCCATAATCGCACAAACAAAACCTTCAGTTTCTCCGAAGAGATCACCATACCGTAGCCAAGTCGTAGATGCTTTAAAGTCTATATCGGACCCATTTAGGACCCGATAAAACCGGCCATGGAGCTTTTTGCCCTTCCATACTTCCCTACGATCATTAGTACTAAATACTACAGGTTTGCGCCAATTCTCTTTAGCCAGAGCGAGCGGGGTGAATCCGATATCCACTGCAACTACATTGCGATGCATTCCCACATCGGTATGTAGAAAATATTCTCTGAGATTGCATATCTCCCGATTGTGTAGGGTCTTGATATTTAATAATCCGCGACCCCCTAGCTTTCGCGGGATATACAATCTCATAACCGATGAACGTGGGTGGTGCATTCGAAATGCAGTCAGCAATGTACGGACTCTCCTATCAAGGGCATCTAGTTCGGTCTGAGTCCATTTAAGTATACCAAAGGAATACATCAGAATCGGCATGACCCAACCATTGCAGGCTCGCACCTTGTTGCCCCCTGATAAAAGACTTTTAAGTACTTTTTTCAAGCGGCCAAAAAAACGTTCCTGCAACGTTTGTGTCATGTCAGATTCTGGTATGCCTAACGACTGTGATATACCCAAATACTTGTAAGTTTCAGTGGCAGACAGAGATCTGAGTTTTGTTGAATCGGAAAGACTTTTTCTCGTAGCCAAGAAGTAATAATTCAGTCGTGTGGTCTAAAGCACACTCGTTTTTTGATCAAGTTCAGTAAAGGGTAAAAGCCTGCTTTTTACACAATTCTGCAATAATTACAAGGTAACATAAACTACAGAACTACTTAAAAGATTATATAATTATTTGTTACCAATCAAAACATTAATTATGTAGAGTTAGAAGTTGATAACGCTGGCTAGTTTCTTGACGCGGTTGAGGAGTAGATCTCCTTCGCGGATAGTCGCCTGGTAAAGCTGCGAGCGATCGGCGTCGGCTCCGCGGCCCGCGCCCGTCACTACACACCCTGCTACTGCGTCGATACGGCACTGAAGACGACCGGCTGCCGTAAACCTGCAACGTAATTACGTACATTAAGCTGATGAAATGTCTTCGGTCGCTGAAGACCTTAACAATAGACATCAAATCTTTAAAGATGTGAGAAGAATTTTGTTTGCTATGGCTTTAAAAACAGCTGTTAGACAGTATCTCTGCCGGACTGTTATCAATACCCAAACGTTTTGGCGAGGGGTCTCTGACTCACTCTCTGATTGCGGCTATCGTGCGGAGCGAGAGTGCGTGGAACTTTGCCGTCTAATTCTGCGAGCAAGTTATGCTTGCGAAGGAGATGGCGGAGCGAGACCGGGAGAGGTTCAGAACTCTCACGGCCCGCCAGGCTCGGGAACGGGCCAGGTACCGCAGACGACTCAAGCGCCGGAGGTCGCAGAACGACCTTCGTCCTCCATAAGGGCAGGCCTGGGGGTGTCAGGTGAGGCCATCTGTCACCCTCGCAGAAGCAGGCCGGGGTGGGGGCGAGCGCGTTGCGAAGCGCGCGCGCCCTTCCGGGAGCACTGAGGGAACATGGGGGGTTCCCACACAGGGGGGGGGTCGTCTACCCGCCGTAGATGGCCCGAGGTACGTCGGGGCACCAGGGATTTCCTTTCTAGGGTACACCTGGTTCCCCGACTACCTGAGACGGCGTGTGGTTTCAGTCGGTTCGAGTCCGACATTGCCACCGGTGGTATCCGAGGGAATTTCCGCACTGAGTCGGACTGTATATCTGTTTGCCAATATGTTATTTTGTCTTCAGACACTTACGTAGAGATTTCCTCCTCGACAAATTCCCGGGTGACTCCAAACGTGTCTGCGATGTTGTCAAGGCTGAGCGAGCGGTAGGCGCGCAGTAGCTGCACATAGGCCTTGATGCGCGCCTCACGAACGTAATGCTGGTAGTGAGGGCGGAACACGGGATCTACGCAGATCTGGGTCTCGACCTGCGTATAGAATAATATCAATTAAAAACTGTGGTCGTCTATAGTTACTCCTCATTACTACATACATTAATAGATAAAATCAGAATATGTTCATATTCAAACAATGAATATTCAAACATATGGAATTCAATTAAAAGCATATGATTCCTTATAATAAATTGATGGTTTTCACTATGAGTTTTACTATTAACTGAGACTTAAGAAAGACTGCACGGATGGCGTGATGACTTAAGCGGTCGCCAGTTGCCACGCCGCTCACCACTACGCTGAGTGTTGTGGTTCCGATCCCCACTTGGGACCACACTTTGTGTGATCCACAAATTGTTGTCCCGAGTCTGGGTGTTCTTTGCGTCCGTCACCTGATGGGAAGTGAGCCTCCCCTCCCTCCCCCCAGAATTGGAGGAAGGGAGTTTCGGGCTCCGGTGACCTCCCTCACTCAGTTAATAGCAACGAAAGAATTGTTTGTAACTACATATGTATTTTATATATTATATTCATCTTTACCCAAGCAAGACTTTTGAGGAAGTCAGCATAGCGGCATTCATGTAGAGACTCAACTAGTTCTCTTAACTCTGGGAAACGTGAACGAAGCGCCTGAACAGCCGCGCCTTGTCGGCGCAGAGCTGACTGCAAGGCGTGGCGCTCGAGAGCTAGCGCACACGCTAACACACAATACTGAATAATTGTGCCTGTAACATAATAGTAAAATGTTTGTTAAATAGTAAATATATCTAATGTTTTAATTAAGTATATTTTATATCTTACTCTAGAGAAACTCTTAGAACTTACTTTATTTAGAAATTTTTGTTTAAAATCAGTTTAACGTAAAATTAAAATAGCATAATTCTATCTTAGGGGTAAAAAAACATTAGTAGAGTAAAAGACCTTTACTTTAAACTCTACCAAAATACATTCCAACCTGAATTTCAAGCTGAAGTATATAATAATGCAAAGTCAATTAAGCACTGGTAGAACTCATTTAGAAGTGAGTACGAGGGGTATACCAGCTAAAAGCCTAACCTGCTGGCAGACCTTGGATTGCCAAGAGCTTCAATAGGCTTGTTTCCTGAATGAATATCCAAAGTAGCACTGTTAGGCTTGTATCAAATATGGTTAGGTAGAGGGGGTAACACAGCAGACAGTGAAGGTGAGCACCGAAGCTATGCAAAAAGTACTTCCTAAACCTACACCTGGTTTGCAAGTCACAGGCGCTTTCAAAGTTTGCAAGTGTCCCCCATCTATCACGCGATGGACCCGGCACTCTCACAGTGAATCCATGGAAGGCTAAGAAATAGGTCTTAGATATAGGAATAATGTGAACACATAATACATATACCTTTCAACTATGTGACATCTTGTCAAAGTTAGTCAGCAGTAGTCACAGGCTGAACAGAAAACCTGTTCAGCCTGTGACCACTGCTGCCATCAATATATATATAATTATATTTTATTTTATTGAATAGGTACAGATACAGACAACAGATCAAGACATACAACAAAGACCAATTACAACTGTACACAACTTTCAAAACAAACAATGCTTCGTTTTTAATGTTGGTTAAGATTGGATTTAAATGTAAATTTGTAAAAAAAAAAAATTGAATAAAAATATAGAGAGAATTTCATGGAACATGTAAGTTTAAAACCTCAAGTATGCTTATCACACATTTTTTTTTGCAGACATAATATGAGAGTAGCTATATATATATATATTCTTTTTCACCCCAACCAATGCTTATAAGCAATCCTTTTTTTTATGGAAGAGGGGCTAATGAGCAGACGGGTCACCTAATGGAAAGCGACTGCCGGAGTCACAATAGCGTTGCCAGCCTTAGAAGAATTTCTTGAAGGTTTTATGAGTCCGAAAATACTGCAGAGGATAACAACGATACCACATATTGGTTAAGAGTAAAGTGAAAGAGGCAAAAAGTGTCGTGAAGTGCCAATTATCCCTTCCCTACCATTAGATACCTCCTCTTCTTACCTACATTCTGCGTCCATTAACCTCAGGCCCCACCAAAAATAAATTAGATATAAGATAGCAGTAATTCATATAGTTTGTTATTATTTACTATATTGCTCTTTAGTTTATTATTTTGATTGTTGTTAAGTGACATGGCTTGTCATTCATATCAGATATAAGACCATATATTGTTAAAATTAGTTATAAGTATAATATGTATGACATGCTACCGTTACTGTACTGTACTTCTAATTTTCTCATTTCTAAAATTACATCCATGTGCCCATTTGATGGCAATAGGTTTGCTCTCTATTATATAACTGGGAATAAGAATGTGGAAGAATAAATTGCCTTTGTCAATATAGACTAAAGTGTCATGCATAATTCTTTTTGTAAAAAGGTAAGTTGAAAATGACATTGATTTAGTAGGAGAAAGTTTACAATATATTTATAATTTGAATTTCCCAAAATGTTTATGATACTTTCAAATAAAACTTATTATTTTAGATACTTACCAAAGTCTACCAGTTCATAAGACTCAAATGTTGAAACACAATCTATAAACAGATCAGCTGCTTTGCTGTAGTCTCTGACTGCAAGACAGTAGATAGCTTCATAAGCTTTAAGCTTATTCCTGGAGCGCCAGTCTCCACCTTTATCAACCAGCTCATGTGCCTGTGTGAAATAAAAATGATATCTATATAAAATTTTAATTCATACAAATTTCAGCAAATCATAAAATAGAACTGTTTAAATGTCCTTAATTCACTTTGCTTTTAATATTACATTACTACTTTAAATTACTTGTAAAATCTTTCTTCATTAATTTTACATGAAAATCATATAAATTTAACGCAAACCTTGTTGATAGCTTTTCCCATTTCTTTAACATTGCAGCCATGAAAGTATGCAATCCGAAACATGGCAAAGATTCCATCTAATCTTCTGTTTGTGGTCAACGTAGCATCTTCATACTTTGATGTTGCCAGGGCAGTTGCTGCTTCTTTGTCCCCAATGGAGCACAAGTAATCCAATCTGTAGTCATTAAAAATAAACTATTTTTATAATAAAATCTATAGGGAAAAAAAATAAAAAACAAGATTGAGTGCATTACCTATCTTGCCAAACAGGAGTCTCCGAATCATCCTCTTTAAAGTTAGCTAACCTATCTTGGTTCTCTTTTGTCATCTGATCGTATAACTTCTGATCCATTGGCCACCCAAGATCAGTGCAAACTTCTTTGTAATAAGGAGCCATATTTCCATTCTTGATTCCTTGTAGCAGTTGTTCTTTTAACTGAGGATCATTTTTAAGATGAGGTAAACTTAGTTTGAACTTAATTCCGGCCAAAGCCATATATTCCGGGGTTTTACCCTCGGCAGAAAGCTCCATTGTGAATACTTAGTTATGATTAAACTGCCAATAACACGGAATTAAACTTAATATTGTAGAAAAAACTGAAGCCAACACAACACAATTTATATTATTTTAACTCTATAATCTTTTCTTCTAAGCTCCAATGAAAAACAAAAGTCACTGTTCCAGTGCTGCCATAGTCACCAAATGGTCAACTCGAGTTGATTTGATTACTTGAGGCCGAGATTTACCTATTGGTGAATTTTCCTTGAATCGAAAAATAATACTAAGTTTAATATTATTAAATAAAAGACACTAATGAACTTTATACTGATATTATCTTTAGTTTTTCGGAATATTTATTTTAAATTTGTCCTACCAACTACTGTTAACAATGTTGCCACCACCTATATCTTTCACCTACTTAAAAACCAGTTTAACTTCAAATTAAATTAATTTATTATTGTGAGCTATATAAGCGGAGATTAAACATTGATTCTAAATTAGAGTTTTACTATAACCCGCAAGAGTTAACTTGAGACCTGAACGCAGTAGGTAGTACACAACGGCGCTCAGGTCTCAAGTTAACTATTACAACACCTGAGAATGAGAATGATTATTGAAACGCAACTTTATAGTATTCAGACAGAGTATCTTTTGTTCAAAATAAAACAAACATAATTAATTTAACAATAAGATTTTTATATAAAAATTAATGTGTTTAATTAGTTTGTTGATATCATGTTCCAATTTACTCAAGAACAGCCGCAAGACGCCACGTTCGGTAACATGCAAACGATTTCTCTTTTTAGTAAGCAGCGTTGCCACAGTACTACATCCACGTTCACACAAATACGACGATGGGAATAATCGTTGAACGATTGACTACAATCAATTAAACTGGACGGATTACTTAAGTTAAGAATAAAAAAGTATTAATATACGCACTCAACAAAAAACCTGTCGCGAATGTACCGCAGTGACTTCCAAACGGTGTGGAGATTTTGTAAGCAGTAAGCTTGCAATTATTGAATATTTGATTGAAATAAGTACACGTACATACATAACTTACTTATGTACTTAGTTACTTAACATATATTATTGAATCATACCAAATATCTTTATGAAATGATTATAAAAGTAATAAATGGTAGGTGCCTACTTGAAGTAAGATTTTGTAGCTGATAGTTCGAGGTTTTGATCGCTTTAGGTTCGGCACAGGCGAAGACATGCAGCGATGCACGTTCGCAGCGGTTCGACATCGGATAGGTGACCAAAAAAATTGTTATTTCAAGTTGCTTCGTACTGTAGGTAATGGACACACTACTAAGCTGAGATGAAAAATGGTATTACCCATAATAACTCGTGAGCTGTTTCTTGCATTTTAGTTGAGTAGGTATTGAAGTGTTTATGGATGATTTTTATTTAATACTTCCTATTTCGTTCACAACAAATTTCATATTGTTAAATAAAAAGTATAATATTTACAATCACTAAACTAGAAAGAAACTCAAGTAGGTGGACGAAATAAAAATACTGTTGGTGGGTGTCCTACGTTGCCATTTACGGGCTTACGAGTGTGGTAATGTGTTCCGAATAAGCTAACACAGCGGACGAGGACGTTAAAGTCGTGTCGGCTATTGCGTTTGGCTTGTATATTGTGGGGAACAAGCACGCGCCAACGTAGAAATAGGTCGCAAGCTTTTTTTCATCGGTGTTTAAAAACCGACACTAGCCCCGACGGTTAACTCCACGTTTACATACTTTTGAGACTTGCCAAGCGTGTAAACGTACCATTAAATTTTGTAAATTTATTGCCATTTATAAAAAATACATTGAAGGTATCTAAATCGTCCCATCGTTCAGTGTTTACTCTGTACCCTTTCGTCTACATCTCCGTATCTCTTCGAGTGCTTCACTTTGAGTTTTAAAAGGTAATGACAAATCGTTTCTTTTTTCAATTACTTTTAAATCTCTTGAACCTTTGCAACAGACTTTTGAACATCCTTCTTAAACAAAACTAACTAAACTGTCACTACGACACTGCTATCTACGAGTAGGTATATGTACTACACTGTTATTGAACACAAAACTGACACTGTCAACGTTGTGTCATTTAACCAAATGTTAGGTTTACTTTTTACAATGATGATTGTTTTAAAGACGTCGTCACGTTTAGAAAATAAAATTATTCTCTTTGTGTCTCATCTCTAAAGTTGAAATTCTTAAAAATATACTTTTGGTGAAAGTGAAAGAATACGATACTTGATTTTACTTTTAAAACACGCTTTGTTCGATCGTTATTAGTAAGTCATGTCATAATTTTCAATTGTGTCTTCAGGTAATATTCTTGCGACTAAAATAAAACTAAGGAATCAGAGAAAATGGACGTCAATCAATTGGTCTGTAATAATCAGTCAATCAAAATTGTACCATCAATTGAGGACTCATTGACATCTATGGGATTAAACGTGACTTTAGATGAAAACTCTGAAGCGTGGTTAACACAACTGAAAATTACTTGGAAGACGTGGAAAAGAACACCAGCAGTTGAAAATTACATTGAATCATTTTTTAAATCTCAGTCAGACCCATATAGATTAGCTCTTGTTTTTGTTATTAAATGTGATGATTACAAAGACTGCAAACCTAAATCGTTACCTTATCTTATAGTAGAAATTTTACAGAAGTGGTCACAATCTTGTAGTTTATTTCCAGAAGATTATCTCAAATTACCGGCATTCCACATTGCTATACATCAGAGAAATCCAACTTTTATGGCTCTCACTATAAATACTTACCAAATTGTCAGTATTAAAGACAAAATCTTACCAATCATAAAGGATATGATCAGTAATGACAACTGCAAACAAGCATCACAAATTATTATAGCCATGCATTTATTTGAAGATATATCAGTGGAGAGTTTACTGTTTCCATTAGTATTACAGGATAAGAATAATGTGATTGATGAATATTTGTCACAGTGTCCTAACCAAGCAAAGCCCATGGTACTATTCATAGATAAATTATTAGATAAAACAGTCAGCATTCGTGAATTTGTTCAAAATTATATTGAAGAAAACAAAGTTTCCCATGTTAAATACGATAAAGTACACCATAAACCTCTGGGGAAATTAGTGGCACGTTTATGCAACAAGTTTAACATTCCCATTGAGACATGCAAGAATCTCAGTAAGAATCGCACAACTGGTGGGTTAAGGTTCTTAATATATCAGAAGTATCATGAACACAATGTCAGCAATTCAGTTTGGGAAGACTTAGTTAAAGACTCACTGAAGCAAAATGCAGGCTCTGGCCAAGAATTCTTAGATATGTTGGTGGATTATGATAGAAATGAAGCTCTAAAGTGGGCTGCCTATTTAAACATGCCAGAGAATCTCTTACCATTAGCACTAAGAGAAATTTCACTTAATGATATACCAGAAGAGCAAAATTGGGATACAAATGTAGTATCTACTCAAGAATATTATAAGTTTTCTTTACCTGAAGATCACATTTACATTATCGATACAAGAGAAAAGTTCTGCAATGTAATGATGCCAGACATGGTTCAAGCCAGTGTGGCTAGTATTGACTGTGAATGGAAACCTTCTTTTGGAGCAACACAATCTCATGTAGCTTTAATACAGTTAGCTACACTCAATAAAGTGTATTTGATTGATGCCCTAATATTAAATAAACCAGAATACTCCAGTTGTTGGAGTCTTTTCTATAAATCATTTTTGGATAATGCTGAAATCATTAAAATAGGATTTGGTCTTGAGCAGGATTTTAAGGAAATGAAAGCTACTGTTGTTGGTTTAGGAAATATTAAAGTACAAGGAGAAGGATTGTTGGACCTTAGTCTTTTATGGAAGAGTCTCATAAGTAATGGTCTTACCATTCCTGGTAATAGTGACAATGGCAATAGCCTCAGTTCAGTGGTACAATCATGTTTTGGATTGCCCCTGGAAAAATCAGAACAATGTTCGAATTGGGAATTGAGGCCACTCAGAAGTACACAGATTGTTTATGCTGCTTTGGATGCTCATGTTCTGGTACAAATTTATGACTTTCTTTTAAACCTGTGTTTGGATCAACATATAAATTTTGAAGAAATATGTAATGATGTTATGTTGGAAAGCAAAAAGAAATGTTCAAAGAAACCTAAGGTTATAGACAGATTACAATTAAGTTTACCTATTATGGAGGAAAGGTCATCAAAAGCAGTGAAGTTTGTGATTGAACATGGATTGTCTGGTTTATTGCCATATTTAAGGTATTGTGGAATGGATGCAATTGTATTTCCACCACAAATGATATGGCATGATGTCATAAACTTGGCTATATCAGAAAATAGATTTGTATTATTAAGTAACTTAAAATACACACCCTATGTGAGTTATCCACAGAGTTATATATTAGAATTAGGTAAAAATTCATTTTATAAGCAGTTAAGAAAGGTGTTTCATCATTTTAATGTGACAATTGATCAAGAGAACTTGTTCAGTTTTTGTATAAACTGCAATAGTACTAGTTTAACTAAACTTAGTATTGATAAAGTTGTTGAAATCTGTAAGGAGTATGTAGCTGTATCTGCTAAACCTGTCTACTCTGTAAAATACAATGATTATGATGATGATGATGTTGGTTATAATGACAATTTTCTGAGTGATTCAGATGGTGATGATGACTTGTATCAGCCAGATACATATAGCAAACAACCTATAAAAACTAAAACAGGAGTGCCAATAGTAATAGATGAGCCACATAAATTATTAACTTCTAATCAGCCAGCTATCTTGTGTGATGCATGTGGTAAATTGTTTTGGAATGAAGATAGTTTGTTAAAACCTGTCAGTGAAGCTGTTTACAATATTAAAAAGGTTAAACTCTTTTAACTTGTATTTACCAGAATACTCATTTGAGTACAAATACAAAGACTTTTTATTTCTAAAAGAATTTATTTGAATATAAATAATTCTGGAAAATTACTTTGCAGGTGTATATATTATAAAATTGTAAAAGCCTGTTGTGATTCTTCTTTCACACTAGCAATGACGGGGTTTTATTACTAGCTATTAACCATACAGATATATATTAGAATACAGTATTATGTTTAAAACTTAATAAAAATATAGTAACCTTTATCTTTGGTTTTATATAAAAAAATAAGGGAAGGTGTATGCAGTTCTAAATACTTTACAAATAAGAATTTTATTAAATAATAATGTTTGTAAAACATTTTGGGTTGATAAATACACACTAAAACAAATTGATAATAAATGTCAGAGTAAGTTTGTTTATCACGCTTTAACATCGAAACAATTCAAGAGTTAACATAGCTAGGAGTACAGAAAGACCATAGTTAGACCGCAAACATTAAAATATCATCAATTGTGTCTAAAATACAATACAAAAAGAAATGTTCACTTATAATAATGACAAGAAATGTATTTTGCTTTAATACAAAGAGGCACTGTTGGTATTTTTGTTTAAGTGTCAAACTAAAAGTGCATCAGACAAAGTTCATAATCACATCATACTGTTATGAGAAAGTTGCATTTTTAGGCATAGAAATTGTAAAGAAGAATAAAAATGTTAATTTCTTAAAAAAATTTGATCAATTAATTAAATATGACATGATGATTATAAACATCTGAATGTTATCCCAGGAGTTGAACTTGATAAAATACAATTTCTTAATAAATTACAGTATAATTGCACTTTTTTTTAAATAATTCCACTTCTTGTGCTAGTTCAGTATTTCCTTTCAAATTTATAACTTCTAAATTCAAGTTAGGTAAGTTGGATAAAGTTTTCAGTTTGTTATTTTCTAATGATAATTTCTGAAATAAAAGAATCTGTTAATAAAATTAATAATTATAATTTTTAAGGTCTACAATAAGTAAAATTGAAAAATCATTTACATTTATGATGACGATTATTTTTTAAAATTAGATTTCCTAAATTGTTTTTAGATTTAGGTTTGCCTGTTTTTAAATAAGAACTATTTTCTAATAAGTTGACTTTATGTACATTAAAACGTTAAAATATACAATAGAAATAGAATACTCAATAGAAAATCTTACCTTGCAATGTTGAAGTATAATTAAAGAAGGTAATATATTTGATGTTAAATTTTGATTAGATAAATCAACAGTTTCACAATAACTATAATATTGTAAGTGTGGCAAGCTTGTTATCTTGTCTTTAAACATAATTTTAAAGCAATCACTGTCGTTAACATAATCCATAGAAAGTTGATCTTCTATACTCCACTTTGTAAGTAAATCATCATAATATCCGGCTCGTAATTTATCAATAGTTTTTAATGTATGTAAATTTTTTATAACCTCTTTGTGATTTTGTTTAGCATCAATGCAGTGAAGAAAAACTGTGGTAGTTAAGAGAGTCCCTGTAAAAATTTAGACATAAGTGTACTAGTACTAGAGTAAACCATTTTTAATGTAACCAATCATCATAATATAATCCAAATAATTAAAATATACGAAACATATTTCTTACACTTATTGTCTGGTTCCATGGCAAGCAGTTGCCTACATGCCAAAAGCTGTGTAGTCAACTCTTCAACTACTGGTTTGGAATACTTTCTTTCAAAACTGATTTCATTTTTACCTACATAAGTATTTGTATTTAGTTTCACACTCAGAATAGTTTGTATATTACCATCTTCCATATCATACTCCATCTACAAAAAGCAAAAACAAAAATGCACTATGTTATATGTTATGAATATTTAGTGTTCATTAAAGGTTTTATAAATGTATAATATAATACATAAATAAAGTTAACAAGTATGTAATATTTATTTTTACCTTAATAACATCATTCTCAGTAATCACAGTATCATGTTTCAGTATCCACAAAACATCAAATTGGTTTTTGGTACACGAGAACCATTCACCCTTAACTAAATTATTATTACAAAATATTCTGATTTTAGAACCAACGTATTTGTGTTCCACATATTTATTAAATGCTATAGTTATCTTCACTGGAGTTACAACATAGACCACCACTTTTGTAGTAGTTTTTACAGCTCCTGCAAATTTATGACAAATTTGTTAGTTAATTTGGATCCACTTGGACCCAAGTGAACCTCTTCCCAAAAAGGGTTGAAGATGGGTCTCGAATCCACAAAATCTTCACTTGCAAAGGACAGGCAGTCATAAAACGTAGTTTGTAAGTTGCCATTCATTCATTGTAAACTGTTATTCTGGTCGTACTCATTGTTTATGTTTTCAAATCAAAACCACATCATATTTTTATTATTTAAATAGTAAGCAGATCGATGAAAAAGCAGGTTGGATACATTACTAGTTCCATAAGGACGAAGTCACGGGCAAAAGCTAGAAAGACAATTTACTAACCTAGCAACCATCTTTGATAGAACCAAGCACTAGTGTCATCAGGATCAGTAAATGCTGCACTTTGTACTATTTTTAGTTCCTGCTTGTGATGAATGTCTTCTATTGGCCTTCCCCCTGGAAATTAGTAAATAAATATATTTATTTACCTATATAAATAAATAAAATTGCCTGTAATGCATAATTAGAACTTTTTACTCAATATATTGGCACTACTAACTTTTTAAAATATTTTTCTCACTTAGTTAAGATTCATCTCCAAAGAACTTGGTTCACCCTAACACAATTTTCACAAGTTTTTCACTGTCTGTAATGTGATATATTCATTATCATTTTCTTCTATTTTATGTGCTAATACTATTATTTATTTTATAAATATTTCTTCTTTTGATGGTATTTGCAGCCTACTCATAACCTACCTCCGACAAGATTTCTTCTTAATTCGTCTAGCAATTTCTTGATTAGTGAATAGGTAAATATCCCTATTCATCCTGATGGTGTCGTAAGATCTGACTAAATGAGCAAACTAAGCAGGACAATAGCACTCTTTGCAGAGTAGAAAAACTTGAAGCAATCCCTATATCAACTCGTCTGGCCTGTGTGGTATAAGCAGACGAAAACCTCCTCTCTAAGGAGAGGCCTTTAAAGGCTGTTGATAATAATAATGATGAAATACCTTTATTTTTGAATGATTAGATTGCAAAAAGATTGTTCTTTACCTTCCAAATCTGGATATAGTGCCACTAATATCTTGCTTCTGTAATGCCATGCTGAATAGTTTGAAAAGTTGTCATATAACTTATCTGTAGTGAAATCAAATTCATCTTTTAGTGATGGATTGCATTTACTAACCACAAATCTCCGGTAGTCCCATGTGTGAACTGTAACAAAATATTTAATACAATTAAACATAAGTCAAAGTAGCAATAAACCTAAATCCATACAATAGACGGCCAGTAGAAATAGTTTAAAACACAAGCTAAGCGCGTATGAGATTCAGTTAAAGAAATAATTGATTTGTTCTTTGAAGCCGGAAATCTGGCTGATTTTTGTTGTAATTCGCTATTCATTCAATGATATGTAGTTAATAGATTAAAACACAGATTAAAAAATGTATTTGCTTTTTAAAAAACACTTGTTTAAATGTTATTTAAATAGTATCTTTAGGCCACAACAGCAACAAGCAGTAGTCATGTACACCAGGGTGCCTGAAAAGATTTAAATTATTCTGTGATTTAAATTTATTATAGATGGCCATCATTCAATTGAGAGCATCTTACATTTAGTATTATATACTGTTACGTCAGTAAGATGCTGCCCTTAGTATTCATGTCAACAAGTCCCAATGCAAAGACAAAATAAATGGAGGTTTCGAGTTGAAATTAAATCGATATACTCAGGTTTACAGTCTCTTGAAGCTGTGAAAAAATCAAACTTCTAAGGTAACGTAAAAAAAAGATACGGCCGTTTATGTTGCACAAAACGTATATTCCGACACTAAAGGGAATCAGGTATTTTCCGTTGACCTAGAACTATGAAATTTGGCAAGTAATACAGTCGTAGCAAATCATAGTTCGGGCTTTTTTGGCACAAGCTTAAACAGATTTTTATATATTTTTATGATTTCGATTACAAATTTGTAAGGAACCCTAGGTGGGCTAGTCCGACTCGCAATTGTCTGGTTTTTTAAAAGTAGATAGTCTTTCTTCAGCACAAAATTAGCAACTATGTTTACATTTTTAAACTTACAATTTCTTTCATCAAGCTTCAGATACATATTGCACAATGAAAGTTCTTTTTGCCAGTCAGGATCATTTCTAGTGGTCAGCACCCATTCCCTTTGATGCCAGGCACCATATGATTTGGGATTAGTTTTCAAACAGTACTCAGTCAAATGAAGTTCAGCATCATATTGCTGTGGTAGCTCTTCTGTTTCATTATTTTTTCTGTAAATATATATTTAAGGTTAATAAGTAAAGCACTATGTTAATGCAAGCACTGGGTGTGTTTACATTTTCTTTAATAGTTTTGAATTTAGAACTTAATTGAGTATGGCACACAAAAAATGAAGATGCCATTGATGTCAATCAAAGGTTTCATCAGTGGGATTTAGTTTTTAAATTTTTTAACTTAATACAAATACATGACTAGAGATGATTCAACACATTTCATTTATCACCTTATACCCATGTGATGGTAGTGTTTTAGGGGATATGAACCACAACTTTGAAAAAAGATGGGTACAGTCCTTGATGATGATGATGGGCCCTTGGCTTGATCCACTATAATAGAACTCTACAACATATCTACCTTATATGTATTTGTCACATTCAATAAATAGATAGAAGCTCATGTTTGACTTTTTAAAAATTTCTATTAAATATATTTTAATTTTTGATTTGCGTGAATGCTCTCAGCTGACATTTCTATGAATATGATCATCAGAAAATATTCACATGCTCTAATGATTAACTGTAGCGTTATCTAACACAATGGAAAACAATACACAGGAGTCCTTTTCCTGACAATGTTTCCAAACAAGTCCATACCCTTTGTAACTCTGTTACAAATATATAACATTAGTTAGGATTACTTTGAGAATATAATTTATACATCATACATAATGAATTTCAGCAATTTTTTTTTCAAATAATGCATTATGTTTATATTAATAATTATTACCAAAGAACAAAAAAACTACAAATAAAGATTGTCTGATGATTAAAACTTAAACATAATCCAATATTACATTAATGGTTTGTGTTATTTGACTTGACATTATAAGTAAAAATGTCTTTGTATAAACTTTCCCTGGTATGATAGGTCAACATACTGGCCTTGTGTAGCATGATGTAGCTCTAGCACAGTTACATGTTACTACACATGTCCAAATTTATTAAACTCCTTTTGTTTAAAACTTTAGCATTCTCCACTTTCCCTATATATAAACTTTAAGTATTACAAATTGCACTGTGAGCAAAATTTTCCCTAAAAGGAAATTAAAAGTATTTTCTTCACATTTAATAATATAAAAAAGATACTTACTTAAATATTTTGAGTATCTCCCTTCTTATATTCCACAATGTATAAATATCAGGATTAGACGACAATACTTTCCCTGTGAGATCTAAAAGATCTTTATCATATTCAGCATCTTTTCGCTAAAAAAAAGGACCAAAAATATAATTAATTCATCCTTTTAAAACTTTCTCATTAATGTTACATGCATACTTTCTGTTGGATCTTTTGCATTGCATGTTCAAAAACTTTAAGTTTCTCTTGGCGCTCTTTTTCTTTCCTTGCTTTTTCTTCTTCAGTTGTTCGAACTTTTACTCTGCCGTGCTGTAAGATAACAATTATAAGTTACAAACTACTGTGTTTCATTTTCATGTAGCTCTATGAACTGTAATGATATATATGCTACCATGTTCAAATAAGGACAATGAAAAACAAAGTTAACTATATATTCACAAAAATATTTAGTTTTTAATAAGAAACGTATGTCGTGAATAGCAGCTGTTCAATCCCACTTTGTTCATTTGTTGAGAATGAGAAATGAGAAAGAAATAAACTGTCAGTGTCAAGATGATAGTGATAACTATGACAAGTTGATGACCAAGGATGCTTTTATGTTACTACACGTGTTTAGAAGCATACAGTATTACAAAAATATTGCGATTAAACATTATGTTAACGTATCAATAAACACGGAATCCCAAGAAGAAGAGTATTTCGGAAATTACATATTCAATTTTGTTGCATTAGAATTTCTCAATTTAAAGTGGCAATTTCGAAGCTTCGCGTGCCATGACACGAAAACTTTTTTTTAATAGCAATGTTTAAATCAGTCTAAGAAATTAATACACCTAAAATTTATGGATGTACAGATTGCGGGACTGATAAATAAAGTCATCTACGTGTATAATAATAATATGGCGTAATCTATCTATCTATATGGCGTAAAATATGGCGTATCATGAGATGGATAGTATTTTAGGGTTCCGTACTCAAAGGATAAAACGGGACCCTATTACTAAGACTCCGTTATCCGTCCGTCTGTCTGTCTATCCGTCAGTTGATGTTGGGAAGTTGTCTATATGCTGATAGGCGTAAGAATGATTCATTTCGAGATACAGGATTAGCAGTTACTCCGTAGTTCGGCGTGTTCGTTAGATGGCGCTTACAATGGGATGTCCTCAGGGATCGGTGCTAGGTCCATACTTGTGGAATATCGGCTTCGACGATTTTCTTGCGATACCAATACCATCCGGATGTACTCTGAACGCGTATGCTGATGACGGCTTATTACTGGTGGAATCTGATACTAGGGCGGGGCTTGAGAGATTAGCCAATAGATGTTTGAACTTGATATCTCAATGGGGTGAACGTAATCGCTTAACTTTTGCACCCAACAAAACCTTCCAACTACTTTTAAAAGGTAACCTCAAATCACCGCCGAGCATTAGATTTGACAATGTTACTGTAAAAAATAAAACTACAGTACTAGGATTAGTTTTAGAAAGAAACTTTTCATTTATCGAACATATTAAAATAGTTAATGAAAAGTCTAAAAAGAGTTTCTGTGCATTGACAAGGATATCAACTGCGACATGGGGTCTATCATTTAATACATTAAAGATCATATACGGAGCTACTTATTTAGGTTCTATGTGCTATGGTGCACCTGTATGGGCCGATAGGGCGACCGTAGGCGCTGTCCGTCGCAAACTGTTACAAGGCCAACGACTTGCACTGATATTCTTGTGTAAGGCATATAGGACGGTTAGCACTGAGGCTTTGCCGGTGTTGGCGGGTGTGCTTCCGGTCGATCTCGAGGTGCAGAGACGTGCAGCCATGTACCATTCAAGACAACAAAACATGGAATGCGATTTTTTGGGCGCGCGGGATCGCGGTAAAATTACAAGATTGCTTCAACAGCAGCCCGATGTCTATAATGACCTCATAGACGAATGGCAACAACGCTGGGATGAATCATCCAAGGGGCGCCATCTTTACCAATTCTTTCCATCTGTTCGCGAACGGTTGTCGAGGATAAGGCTTGAGGTGGATCACTGTGTCGCTCAATTTCTTACGGGTCATGGTAACTTTAAGAGCAAGCTTTATTCATTTAAATTAGTCGAGTCACCATTGTGTCAATGCTCAACACCTAACTCTCACTATGAACAGTCTGCTCATCATATCCTCTGGGAATGTAGTCTTTGGTATAATGAACGTAATATAATGCTGAATAGCTTGCAGGTGACATCTGGGGCGGTATACTATGGGGATCTTGTGTCAACTAGGGTGAATTTCCGTGCGTTTAGGCGATTCTGCCATACATATTATAGAAATCAAACATAGCTCACGTAGGACCCGTAATATTTGTGGCCGTGGTGCTTTCCTATTTAAAAGGGTGTATGCCCATTTTACTTCATTTTGTCTCCCGCTTTGCTAAGGAGGGAAGTGGATTTACTGTATTTCCAACTCCTCCAATTTTCTTCTGATTAATTTCGTTGCGGGTTCCAAGACAGTTTAATATCTTCCTGGGACTTCCCGAGTGTCATAACTCAGGGTGTTCGTGGGTCACTGCTGTGGATCCTGGTGTACAGGAGTTACAGTGGTGGGCGTGTGGGTGGGATTAGTCCCATTTATCCAGATGGCGCTGTAAGGGGCGCCATCTTTACCAATTCTTTCCATGAGGTGGATCACTGTGTCGCTCAATTTCTTACGGGTCATGGTAACTTTAAGAGCAAGCTTTATTCATTTAAATTAGTCGAGTCACCATTGTGTCAATGCTCAACACCTAACTCTCACTATGAACAGTCTGCTCATCATATCCTCTGGGAATGTAGTCTTTGGTATAATGAACGTAATATAATGCTGAATAGGTTGCAGGTGACATCTGGGGCGGTATACTATGGGGATCTTGTGTCAACTAGGGTGAATTTCCGTGCGTTTAGGCGATTCTGCCATACATATTATAGAAATCAAACATAGCTCACGTAGGACCCGTAATATTTGTAGCCGTGGTGCTTCCCTGTTTAAAAGGGTGTATGCCCATTTTACTTCATTTTGCCTCCCGCTTTGCTAAGGAGGGAAGTGGATTTACTGTATTTCCAACTCCTCCAATTTTCTTCTGATTAATTTTGTTGCGGGTTCCAAGACAGTTTCATTTCTTCCTGGGACTTACCGAGGGTCATAACTCGGTGTGTTCGTGGGTCACTGCTGTGGATCCTGGTGTACAGGAGTTACAGTGGTGGGAGTGTGGGTGGGATTAGTCCCAAATAAAAAAAGATGGCGCTGTAGTATATTTCTTCGTTTCACCGTTTGTGGAAGTTGCCACAAGGTGATGGCCATGAAAATTTTGCCATGTGGAACAATGGCGGAATGTTGGTCCGATCAATTCCTTGGAGTACTCTCCATAACATTTGCGATGGAGAATGCATAGTGAAGCCACATCTTTACGTAATGCCAAGGGATCGAGCCCGTCGTAGATGTTTAGGCTATCGACGATTCGAGTAGCTCTTTGTTGGATGCGGTCCAGAGGGAGAAGCTAGTACTGAGGTACCTCTCCTTAGGGATGAGAACTGCGGGAATATTGCCACATGCAGCCGGACTTGCGCCTTACAGAGTTGGCGGACCGAAGTAATATACTGATAATATCTGTTCAGCACACTGAGCTTCTTTGGGGCCAATTTAACCTTACCCTGTAAGTGACCCCGAAACTGGACTTCGCTCGATATGTCGGTACCTAGGATTCCGATACTAGCTGAGACAGTAAGGGAGGAGCTCTCAAACCGAGGTGATACGACAAATTGTCTCTTCTTTGTGGTGAACGCACAGACCTGTGGTCAGAAAGGTCACTCTACTACAAAAGTTTACAACATTTTGACCTGAAAAATTAACTGTAATTACAGAACTATACTAGCAAAATATCTAATCTCTGGCTTTTTTTTTGTGTTTTGCAAAAAAAAAATTGGGCGATCTGATGGTACGGTTTTGCTTTCCGGGGGTTCATTCTCTTTGTTTTTTTTTATTGCTCACGTTTGTTAGATTAAACTTTTTCGTTGGAGCTTTAGTTTTCGCTCTAAAAAACAAAAGAACTGGTTTTTACCATTTTAAACATTTTTTTGGCACTTTATCTGATAATATTTTGTTAGTGAAATGAAAACTTCTTTAGACGCGTTGGGCATTTTTGAACAACAAACAAAAGAATGTATTTTTTGAGATGAAAAAAAACACCGTTACCGTATATAATTATCTACATATATTGGCCCCGTTTACACGAGAGTTGAGTTTGTGTTGACAACATATATTGTGTATATACGTACAACGTAGATATAAATTCATGTTGGAACTTTTCGAATCGATAAAAACTAAAAAAAATCCTGTTATCTTTAAAAAAAAACATGTACAATACTTAGGTACATGTCTTTTAAAAAAAAAGATAACTCCTGCACTAAGAATAAGTCCTGTGTCGCAGGGGATTTTACCACGGTACAATTATAATAGTACCGTGATTTTACCAACATACATGAAACGGATACAAAGAACATACAGACTCATCATGTTACATTGTGTAAGGGATTTTTTTTAAATGTTTTTAAAATTGTATTGTGGGGACAAGTGTAATAGCATGATGGTATCTTATATCCCTATATCCCGTAATGAAACTTATTTTCACATCGCTAGCTATAATTAAATCTTATACTTTTTCACAAAATTTACACAGATGGTGACAAGTGTATCTATAAAATGACAAGTTACTTGTTTGAACGAAATTGACAGTTGTTGACAAGTAACTTTGTTGTCAACGCAAGAGAAACTCAAATTTTACTTATGAAATATCAAGAATAACTCTAGCCTTATCAAAACTCAAAAAAGTGATAAGCTGCGTACGAATTAGAATTGACATTTTCACCGTAGACTATTAAATATATAAGTTAGAATGAATAATGCACCGCAGTTTTCTTTGCGATGGAATAATTACGTATCTCACGTAACAGAAGCGTTCAATGTACTCCGCTTCGAAAACGATTTAGTGGATGTAACTCTGTGTTGCGATGGAGGTAAAATAAAAGCACATAAAATGTTATTATCAGCTTGTAGCACGTACTTCAAACAAATATTTAAAGAGAATCCTTGTCAGCATCCCGTGATTATATTCAGAAACTTTAAATTCGAAGACCTTAATGCGATTGTCAACTTCATGTATCATGGTGAGGTAAACATTTTCCAGGAACAATTAGAATCATTTTTGATAACTGCTGAGATTTTAGAAGTCAAAGGATTAACAGACAATATAGAAGATGAATCATCAAAGAACCAATTAAGGATCACTGACAATATATCTCTAGACTTAAGCTCTAAATCTAGCAGACCTGTAGAGGATATTGTGCCTATACTCTCAAATGAGCCAATCAATTTAGCCACTATCCAAAACACTAGAGAAGAGTACATTCCACAAACAACTAAGGGCAATTCAAAGCAAGAAAACGGAACTTCAGAAGTGCAACCAGAAGCTACTACCTCAGAAGAAAACGCAAAAAAAACACCTTCCTCTACTGAGGAAATGCAGGTTGATATACAGTCTACATCTGTTGAAGATTTGTCAGAAAAAAATAGTTCAGGTAAGTGTCTCCTCACTGTGCAGGAATGCATGAATGCAATATTTAAGTAACTACAAAGTTGCATTTTGATCCACATTCAGTCTGCTCTGCCCTCAATAGTTAAATAGGCATGTGTAACAACAAGTCAAAATGGAGAAAAAATATTTTAATAAATTTAATGGGAAATCATTGTCTTTAAGTAAATTTAAATAATAAAAAATTAGAATTTATATGCATGATAATAGTCTTTGACACCAAGTAATAAAAATATTTTTAAATTATTTAATTTAAAAAACGAATAGATAAATAGATGCAAATAGCCAAATGCCCCTTTTTAAACCTATAACGCTTTTTGCAGTACTTTCAGTAAGTATTTGTATGTAGATCTGTATTTTATGTGTTAAGAAAAAAGGGTACATTCGGTTATATGCTCCTCTTTATTTAAGTTTTTAAAACTATGAAGATAATCCTAGACTAAGATAAAAAAAACATAATTATTATCTACGAGTATTAATTGTTTCATCTGACTCGTTAACCTGAAAATAGATTTACCTACTGTATATTCTCCATTTAAATCCTCTAATGATTACACTAAGCAATAAAACATTTAAAGTATCACCAATAGTTTTTTTTCCCAACGTGAGCCATAATATGACAAATATGACTATGTCAAGACTAACTTTACGAAGTACATAGGGCGCAAATGCGGCAAAAATGTTAGATGCACCTTTTTACCTAACGGGAGCAGTACTAATGCATTGATTGCAATATTTAAATTCTTTTCTTTAGACTTGGATGTGTACCCTGTAACCATAGAGTAACTGAGTTAGGATTATCACAATATTGATAACAAATTAATATTATATTTCTTACTGCCAAGATTAAATGACCATTGCAGTTGTGATATTAGTCATGTGAAAAAGATTTGAAAGTAAATAAATACATTTGAAAGTAATATATCTTTGTTTACAGTATGGACTTCAAACGCGCCACACTAAATTAGACACATTTTGTTAAGGCCTAACTTTTTTAAATATTGAGTGATTGGTTTTAATTGCTAGTTCTTATAAGGCTTGTTCAGGTTTATATACAGTATTTTAAAAAAGGATTAGGGTATAATCATCATTATGGGTCAAGAGGCATCATAGAACCTTCTCATACCGACTGACGTAGGTGATCACCGGTGTCTGATCCGCAAGGAGCCAACGCCTGAGTGCCACCACTGCGGTGGCCGGACCGTGGACACAGTCCTCCACACGTTGGGAGAATGCCCGGCGTGGGTGGAGCAGAGGCGTGATCTCGTGGTGGCCATCGGAGTGGGAGTCCTCTCGCTCGGTAATATAATTGCCGCCATGGTACGGAGCAAGAGTACGTGGAAATTCGGTTACGGGCCATTTATCGCAGACAACTCGGGCGCCAGAGGTCGCAGAACGACATCCGTCCTTCATAAGCGCAGGCCTTTGGGTGACGGGTGAGGCCATCTGTCACCCTAGCAGAAGCAGGCCGGGGTGGCGACGAGACGCGCTGCGGAGCGTGCGCGCCCTTCCAGGAGCATAAAGGGAACATGGGGATTCCCACACAGGAGGGGGTCATCTACACGCTGTGGATGGCCCGAGCTACGTCGGGGTACCAGGGATTTCCTTTCTAGGGTACACCTGGTTGCCCGGCTACTGGTACCCAAGACGGCGTGCGCTTTTTGGTCGGTTCGAGTCCGACGTAATCACCCCAAGGGATTACGGCACAGGAAAAAAAGGGGGATAATCATCCATCATGATCTTTTGTTTGTATTGTTTTTTGTATATTTGAAGAGCGAGTTACGTAATACTATTCTAACTTATGAAATTAAATTAATTTTTATTTTTAAAGGAATTTTGCTCATTCGCATAATAACTAACAGAATGATGGAACTGCAAGCTAGTGACTGAGATGTCTACCACAACACCCAAGTCATTATTATGCTAAAACATTGGAATTGTGACTTTGTTCCTCCTTTAAATTGATAAATAGATTTGTTCTTACCCACCAACAATTGAGGTTAACTTGTTTTTATTGTTTCAGATTCAGAATTGGCAAAGTTTCGCTGTCAACTGTGCCCAAAAGGTTTTAAACATCCTACATCATTAACATTGCATAAGGACTCACATGCTGGCAAAACACAGTGTCCTGTGTGTCATCGATCATTTTCACGGTCTTATGACATGAGAAGTCATTTGCAAAGAATACATCAAGGCAAACAATTGACAATAAAAGAAATCAGATATAAGAATACTAGTGACAATTTGGGACCGAAACAGTTTACACATAATATTTAGATAAACTGTTGTGGTAACTAGTTTTACCATTTATTTTAAGCACTTAGTGCAAAACGCCTGTTCTATACATATATCAATTTACTGAATATATTAAATATATTTTTATTTACCATTGTTAAATGTCACAAATAATGTTGCTCAGTGCTGTAGCTTTGGCTATTTTTATACTAGTCTGTAAAAAATAATACTGTCCTAATATAATAATTGTTTCCATTACTTGTTGTTTAATTTATAGTGGTATTTGATTATCATAAAAAAACGTTGGGTTTTTTTTAAAGATATTTTATAATAAAAAACAATTTACACATTGTCACCCATATACAGGTGAAACTAATAAAGGCATGATAAAAAGGTAAATTGTACGAACATTAATCTGGACGTACTTTCCTTTATAGCTGATTATAATCTGATTGGCTATTTGTTGGCCCGGCAATGTGGCTTTTGTGGTCAATTGTGGCTCATCAAAACAATATTTGCGTACAAACATCATACATGTAGTAGTGGAATAGGCAGGGTACTAGGGCGAGTGCTTCCATTCTTCCCAGAACCACAAAACTCTCTGACTAAATATTTGTTAAAACTATTTATTGGTCCTACTAAAGTATTAAAGGACAAGTATATTTACGTCTACCGGGCCCTTTAGGAATTAAACATCGAAATAAAGAATATATTAGTACATTAAAAAAGGTAGGTAAGAAGATAAGTCAATAGAAAGTGAGGGTTATTCCTTATATGTTTAAATTGGGGAGTGTAACCAATACCTCGAACTAAGCATTACAATTGCATAGCATAGCATCAAGTAACATATTGGCAGTATTCTTCAAATAATCATGTAGGTAGGTACATAATTAGTTGAGGAACCAAGGCTATCACAAAAATATATTAATTATATTAATAATATCCTCATAACGATTATTAGCAGTATTTATACGTGACAAGAAAAACTAACTTACTACTTAAGCGATATGGTTGACATCAGAATAAATGAGCCCCTTTCCATTAAAAGTAATGGGAAAAATACCTGTTCAAATTAAAAACAGTTAAAATAATTATTTCAATTTAAGTAATTGTGCATTCCACTTCGTCTGTTATTTGACAGATTTTGAGTCACGTAATGCTATTCTAATTTCTTTGGCATGAACCTATAATGTTAGTTTGGAAGTGTATTTTTAGGAATTCGTTAAAACATGACTGCATCAAGTAGCACCTTAGACATATTTTTTTATTGTGATTGAGAGGACCGTTAGGATTACTTCGCGGTAACTTCAAATATAAACCCCCTCATTCCTGTCCAGTTGTTTGTCCTTTCTAGTACCCTAAGGAAACCCTCTTCCGTCCTTCGAAGTACTCCCTTCTCACTACGCCAACGCAGCCTTATTTCAAACCAACGCACAGTGGTCCGGATTTGAAAAGTTGTGAACTTAGACATAAAAGTCATTCAACTGGCTTGAAAAAAATCTATAGGACAGGAAATCTGATTTAGAACAATATTTGTTAGATGTTGTTCAATATTTTCCGCAGCACTTCCGACAGCTTGCTCCAAAGCGGGTCGGCGCTGCTTCTGCCCTAGGGCGACTTTTGCCTAATTTGGGTGGAGCCAGGGTCACGACAAGACAGCAGGTCATCGTCGAGCGGGCAGGGCGGCCGCACGGGACCCTTTCCTTCTAGCTGACGTAGGTCCTTGCCGGGCATGACTGCTTTGGGAAGTAACTGCACTTGGTCGCTAGGAGGGAATTGAGTACCGCCTGTCACCACTGTGATTGCAGTGAGGACTCTGCTCAGCACAAACTGGCAATTCTGCGAATACGTCATCTCGCAAAAGGAGGCGGCGGAGAGGGCCCGATGCCGCTATCCGCCCGGAACTCAGCCGTCCACCGATATACTTCGGCGAGCACTTCCGCCAACGGCCAACGCGCACGACTTCCCTAACGAATACTATCTACCTCCAACTAAACTATCCTCGCAGTCCAAACTGGTTAGAATTTGTACCTTCCATCACCAGGTCATCAATACGAGATAATGACTACTAGACGCAAATACTGGAATAGCTTTAGAAAATATATGAAACACATAATACGTGCCTATAAAATTGAGGGTTGCCCTCGATTTCCCTGGGATCCCCTCATCAGATCATGACTTCGTGACAATGAGACTAAATGAGGACTATGCTCTTTCTAATAAAAAAGGATTTGAAAATTGGTCCATAATTGACAGAGTAATCGGTGAATATACATTAAAAAAACACATACAGTGGAAAATAGAACCTGCTGCTTTTTGAAGTCTGTTAAAAAATGATGTGCGGTGGTATAGTCCTATCATAACAATAGTATAATTAATTACTCCACATTGACACCACAATATTAGTATTAGTAGCATCTACATTGTACCCGTGCGAAGTCGGGGCGGATCGCTAGTAATAGGGAAAATGCATGTTTTTTTTATTGCTTAAATTAATCATTTACATCTTTATTACATGGAAAAAAACTATAAATAGTCTTGAAAATACATAGTCAAGTAATTTTTCAAAGTGAAATTTAAAACATCGAATAAATTTTAGCCGTTAAAACGCCACCATTTAGCGCGCGTTTTTGATTACATCATAGGTTGTGTCCCGTGTTTGTTTACTATAGCGTTTCAGTTACTTCGTACTTATTTTCAGTTTTAATTTCTATACAAATCATGGAAGAAGTTAAAAAACCTTCTTACAGGCATAGTACGGTACCGAAGTGCAAAAACACTATTATCAGTACACCTGATGAAGTGTTTTTTCGTAATCCGCGCGATGCGAAAGTACGAAAAAAAATGGTGTAGGTAAGATGATGAGAAGGGATAATGTATATCCATTATCGGTTGTATTTTGTTGTGAAGATCATTTTAACGTAAGTATGCTATAAACTCAAACTCAAACTTTCTTTATTTCATAAAATTTACAAAATTGTTTGAAATCGTCTTCCATGTAGACTCTAAAGTCATAGATCAACACACACAAAAGCAACAATCTCTGTTTTGTCAAATAGTAACCAAATAAATTTAACAAAAATCAAACCCATACAAAATCTATGATATGCCTGTGCCGATCTACAACCGCCCGTTTCCAAGGGGTTGAGCCTTATGAGAAGAAAGGGCAAACAAACTCATGGCCACTCTTTTGCAATTCACAAGTAGATACAATGGCACTATTAAATATATCACAACATTGTTTTGATGTGTGCTAGTATGTCCGTTATTAAGGATTTAAAGGTGAAAAAACAACGAAGAGAAAACAAGATTAAGAAGAAAAAACGAATACAAGAGAAAATGAAGTGAAACATAAAAAATAGAAAAAATAATAATAATAAAAAACATACTAGCCACACCACATTTTTACTTAAGAAAGAAATAGCCTGCGCTAATTAATCCCAACCATTCTTGTCCTCCATGTAATCCACAATCGAGTAGTAGGCCCTCTGGCACAAGCCACGTTTTATTGCGGATTTAAATTTGTTAATACTCAACTCCTGAATATTATTTGGGATTTTATTATAAAATCGGACACATTGACCTCGAAAAGACTTGTTTATCTTTTGGAGCCTAGAGGCGGGTACAACAAATTTATTTTTATTTCTGGTATTTATGGCATGTACATGTATATTTATGTACAGCTTAGTGTGAATTAGTTATTAAGCAGTAGTAGATTCGATCTAAAACGAACCTAACCTGGCTAACCAAAGCTTGCTCATTCCTATTGCGGTTGTACGAAATTTTGATGATTGATAATTTATTTAATGTTAAGGAAGATACAGTTAATTATATTGAATGTAACATAATGAAACACAAAGGATAAAAATGTAATCTACGGTTAAAGAAAGGCGTTGTTCCTCACGTATTTTTGTGTCAAAAACGGAATAAATGCCACCACCAGCTGAAAAAATGGCCGTAGTTAAAAGGTAAAGACTATCACTGGTTAATGAAGCTGTTTCAGAATATGCTATCAAAGGTAGTAATATTTTAGAAATTGCTGAACCTTCACAAAGAAGTTATTACGAAGCAAGTCCTAGTACATCCCATACAAATGTATGTAATATTAATCAAGGAGGACCCAGTACGCCCCATACAAATGTATGTGATATTAATCAAGCAGGACCCTGTATCTCCCATACAAATGTGTGTGATATTAATCAAGCAGGACCTAGTACCTCCCATACAAATGTGATACGGACATCATAAATGCATCTATTTTCGGTAGATTATCCGATTGTGCTTTGATAAAACCAGTTTCTGTCATCGTCCTAGATTGAGTACAAATATATGTTCACAAGTAATCACACAGGTAATAATAATAATAATAACATACGCATACGTGGCTCTTGAGGGTGATGGAGTTGTACAAGATTGATACAACTCTATGCACTTTTATGGAGACATGTATGCGGCAATGGAGAACGGTTCTTTGCTATCCAGGATGTCGGCAATCTCAAGGCGATGGCGAATATATAATGATTAAGCGAGGTATATTTCAGGGTGACAGTTTAAGTCCCTTGTGGTTTTGCTTAGCTTTAAATCCTCTCAGCACTATGTTGGAGGGTTCAGGGCTAGGCTATCGTTTGCAGAGAGATGGTAAGGTTATATCCCACCTCCTTTACATGGATGTTTGCTTCCAGTAGTTCCATACTGATAAATTTACTACAAATAACTAAAACCTTTAGTAAATGTATCAGGATGGAATTTGGTGTAGATAAGTGTGCAATCATGCATGTAAAAAGAGGCTGGGTTGTGGAGTCTGATAGGTTGGAACTCTCAGATTCCACGCACTTTACATGTCTCTCAGCTAACGAAACTTACAAATATCTGGGTATGTCACAGGCGTTAGGTGTAAATGAGTTGACTATGAAACAATCGTTACAGGAACGCTTCTTTAGCCGCCTGAAAAAAGTATTAAATAGTCTTTTGTCAGGTGGTAATAAGGTGAGAGCCTATAATGATTGGGTCATACCAGTTCTAACTTACTCTTTTGGCATACT